AAGCTTACTACTGACACAGAATGAGTTTTTTTCAGTGTACACAGATTCCTATAACGGTTGGGTTTGAGGTAGGTTAGGATTAGGGTAATAGAAACTACAGTTTGTAGAGTATTAAAAACAAAGGGAACCTATTTAATGTCACCACAATTCACAAAAACAAACATGTTATGTGTGTGCTTACTGTGAGCTCCTGTCTGATGCACTCAATAGTGGCCTCCAGCGCTCTGGTTCCTCTTGAAGCCTCATCCTCCACTGCTTTTACGGTTTTCAGTAAGGATGTTACATTAGTTACCATGACCTGAACACAGAGACAGACAACAGATGTCCATTATACGTTCAGTCATTTAGCAAACATTTCTGTAAAAGGTACTTACACAGCCTCATTCTTTAAAAAACACTTTTAACACTTTTACAGAAAAAACATCTGAGGGCCTGTTTACATCTGGTATCAAAATGAGTCTCATCAATCAGATCACCAAATGTGCGACACTAAACTCAGCTGTAAATGGATTTAATGTTTTAATATGTATTAAGCTGTTACCACTTCCAGAGAAATTAGGACACGTGTGGTCAAACACATTCAAACAGTTATAAAGGACAATCTACTCTCTGCCTGCTAATCAAACACATGACTTGTATGGCAAGTGTGGTGACAAACAGTACCAAAACAACATACTTATTATTTTCTGTAATGTACAAACACATACAGATTACTACCAAAGCCTATATACCCAAGTCAAGTAACATGGGCTTGTTAAAGTATGTAAAATGATAAAAAAAAAAGGTGAGCCCCTCACCAAAACAAACACAAGTGGTCACAACACTCATTTGAATGCATGTTAATACCAGGTTGCAACAGTAATGTGTCTCATTCTTACAAATTCTAAAGCTTATTTTAATACCAGGTAAAAACGGGGCCTGATATCAAAATTGACAACTTTTGAATGCATATACCATTGAAACCTAGCCATTTATAGACTACAATTTACTTTTAATTAATTAAAAATACCAAACTAGCTTGTTAATAATAATAATGAGTTTATTTTATATATCGCCTTTCCAGTGCTCAGGGATGCTTTATAACAGTTACAAATAGAACAAAAGAAACAACATCTACAAACCTTTATTATTGTGTGAAAAAAATGAGTTTTAAGAAGAGAATTAAACTTAGAAATATATAAAAGTTATATCCTTTCAGCTTATATACTTGCTCTATTCTAATGAAAAAGATAAAATCAGATGTTAGATTTCTCCACTATTCTTAAACACTACAAAATTAATGATTACAAACTCATGCAGATATATGCCATTAATGGGACATGTAGTTCATTTTATTTTCAGGACAGTTTGGGACTAGATGTGCAATGGAAAACAGATGATGGAAGAGATTACAGATTAATTTCCTCATTCATAATTAATCTGATTAATGGCACGCGTTTCTCACCAGAAAATTTCTACTCATCATATCTGAGTTAGGAGACATTTCCATCCCGGAGGCCAGATTTCTGAGGGACAACTGGGAGATTACAGTTTCAGAGACAGATATATAACAGCTAATAATCTAACTGGAGTGTTTTGAGCTCATGATCTATGAAGGGAAAAGGCAGAATAATATTTATGTTTGGGTTTTTTTACACTTGTACCTTGGCTGCACTCTTGAGCTGGAACATGGACGGGTCGTCGGCTGCTTTTCCTGCTGCACACTTGGTGGCGCTAATGAGCTCAGCTAAAGCTTTAGCGACGTCCTTCACTGCATTGATCAACACCACCTAGGAGGAGATGAATGACAGAAAACACCTTCACATTCCCGAAGGATGACTTTTGACATCTCGTCTGTCCTCGTGACGTTGTTCATGTCTCTCACCTGTGTTTCTGGGTCATCGGGACCTATACTGGCAGCTCCCAGTTTCACCACATCTGTAAGCTGCGTGATGGTCTTGGCAGAGGACTGGGCGGCCTGAGCCAGCTTTTCTTGACTCGACGCAGCACCTGAAACAAGGTTCTTTGTGTCCTCAACCAGAGCTTTGGCGGTCTTCAGAATATTTTCTCTGATAACAGAGAGAGAGAGAGAGAGAGAGAGAGAGAGAGAGAGAGAGAGAGAGGGAGAGAGAGAGAGACAGAGAGAGAGAGGGAGAGAGAGAGAGAGAGAGAGAGAGAGAGAGAGAATGTATGTTATTGGGACCTAAAAAGGAGTAAACAACAGCAACGTATTCAAATGCAGTACAGAACAGTAAATTAAGAGCAACAATGATAAATACAGACTAAGTAACCACAATCTGACTGAGCCGATACAGACAGAACTGAAAACCCAGAGAGAGCCGGATCTGCCCAAACTGTGCACAAGCAGAAGTGGAGACAGACCAACACTTCCTCAACCCAGCGCCCGAACTACTAAAACATCAGAGCAACATTCTACCTCAAAGGTTGTTTACCATTTTAAAAGATAAACAATAAAACACACCTTCAATATTTACTAGGTGAAAAAGCACACTGTATTTTACTAGCAGCACAACACATTGACACCTGTCACAAAAAAAAGCCAGAGGAGACCAATAAAATCACCAGTGGAGCGCTTACAAAGGCTATACATACACTGACACAGAAACAATTCTAAATAGTTATAAATAAATGACTGTTAAAAATAGTTTTATTATTATTTTTGTTTTTTTCCCTAAAATGTATATTGCAAAATATACTGCATTTTTATTATTACTAATATGTAATTTTTAATTTGTTCTATTTCATGTAAAAAAAAAAAAAAATTCACAAAAGTTTTGGCAGTACGTAAGTAACATTTGTCATGCCTTTGCATACAGTCCATTCAGTCATTCAATTCAAACTTGCTTTATTGGCATGACAAATGTTACATACGTACTGCCAAAACTAAACTTGTGATCGTTTTTTTACTCTTGCTTTTCAGCCAATGATAAACTTCTGTTGAAAGATTTGCGAGAATATTTTCAATTTCACAAGATTACTTTTACAGCATGGATTCTGTGATGTAATTAACATATTATCAGTTAAATAGACTTAAGCATCCGTTTGATTGTTGAAGCATAAAAAAGATGAAAATATTATTAAATGCAGGTGTCGTCATTAGCAGCAGGCTAGCGCAAAAATTTCATTGAAAATACTGGGTTAAAATTAATTTCCATATTTTAAAGTCATAGCATGGAAAAATATCATTTAATGCAGTGCTTCTTGTTTGGTCTGATACCCACTTTATATATTATCTTAGCCAAGCAGTGAAGATTGCCGTTTTCTTTAATGAAATCAGATCTTAAACGCAGTGATTTTGTATAGGATGACAATTAACCGGAAGCCCTGAGGCTGGCCGACTGAAATTAAAAGTCCCTGTGAAAATACCCCATAGAGAGAGAAAGAAAGAGAAAGGAACAATTTAATATTCAACATTGTAATACAACATTGCAACATTGTAAAACAAAAACCTTTAGGCCTGTATACTGTTCGCCTTGTTCTGGAAAAGGGACGTTTTTATTACAATGTTGCATTTTCTCCAAGGGAACATTTCAAAGCCACAAGTGAGTAAAACTGTCCTGTAATTGGCTTCAATGGCAGCTACATTGGGATCTCCAAATAGAAAAGCAGCATAAACCATTCATGTTTCCATCTGTTTCAAGCTATGAGTATTTAAACTACATATCAACAGAACAAAACAGAGATATGATCACATATTTCAGTTATTTCAAACTGTCATCTCCCTGTCAGAGCTTTAATTCAGCAACGTTTACATCTATCTTGTGAATATTCCAGTAATTTAGTCTTTGGTAATGATGTTATGGCGATAAAGTGTCTGCTTTTATACTTGCTGTTGGTTTGTTTTGCTTAGATCATGGGTCTCAAACTCAATTTCTGGAGTGCCGCAGCTCAGCACAGTTTTGCTCCAACCTTAATCAACCACAGCTGATGCAACTAATCAAGGTGTTCAAGACTAATAGCGACTATTAAGCAGGGGTCAGGTTTCTTTGACAGCTAAATTGAATATTTGTTTTCTCTGGCAAGAATTATACATGTTTTATCTTTATAGTATACTACTCCTTAGTCTCCTTCTCCGCTCATAATCCAATAAACTTAGCATTTAAATAAATACAACAAATGTAAACAGCAACAAATATTAAGTCATTTTGACTGTTCAAACCAGGTATTGATGGGCAGAGTCAGAGCAAATAGCAAGTGATGACACTTTTTGACACTTTCTTTCTTTCATTTATAATTTCAGACCATCATCTGTGTGTGAAATGATAATACGGAATGGTCTGGAACACATGTTATACAGTGTCCAGACACTAAATCTTTTTTTTTTTTATAGATAAAAACATCATTAAAATAATAGATGAGGATGAAGAGAAGTGACCGTATTGTATTGTCAATTTTCAGTGAAAGGCTTTTTGGAAATTCATGTAATTTTAGGGTTTCTGTTTAATTTAAAAAAACGTGTAAAAGTTGTCAGGAAGATACAATACACATAGACAAAAGATTAAATAATATGAAGTGACAATGCAATGCTTTGGAATTAATAAAAAAGCTTTACTTTCTTTTCTTGCTCCACTGCTTCATGAAAATCTTGCTATATTTGGTTGAAATAATTTTTTGTTTTTCAGTTTTGTACAGATGTGCAGATGTTTTGTTGATTATAGTGCAATGCATTTGAATTTGGACATTTGTTTTTAATTGCATATTTATTTAGTTTGAAGTAAATCAAAATCAAACATCTGTCAACAGGAAATTAGCCTGTTAGCCTACAGTATTTGTGTGATACCTGTGATCGGCAAAGGAGTCTGAATCATTCTCAGCGTTGAGCGTGCCAGCTGAAGCAAACATGATGGTGGTGTCCAGGTCAGCGATGATGCCGGATACAGCACTGGCCGCAGTGATACAGGCTTGAGTGCCTTTATTACCAGCTTGCAACGCAGACAGCACCATAGACACCTACACATACATTCAAATGAGTCTTTCTGTAAGAGGAAACTGACATTTCAACAAAAAACAACAAAAATAATTTAACAGAGTTGCGTTTGTATTTGTTCTGGTACCTTCTCAGTGACGGCTCGTGCACACTCAATGAGTTCCCTCTTGGTGAACGAGTCTGTAGGACTGATCTGCAGCGCTCCAGCCTTTTGAACTAGCACTATGCAGCCGTGGCCCAGTTCCTGAACACGTGTCTTGATCTGGAACCCGATCTACAAATCACCCACACAATGGTCAGCATGTGTGTGTGTGTGTGTGTGTGTGTGAGAGAGAGAAACACAAAGATTAAATGCTCATCTGCATGTCAGTTACCTCCTCTGGTTCAGCAGTAGCAGAGGCCAGACGACCCTGAACTGCAAGCTGACTGTAGTCTGCAGTGACCTGAGACGCCAAACTGCACAGATCCTCTGGAGAACTGACTGATTTCGTGATCTGATGGAGAGAATAAAGGAGGAGAATGGAATGGGAAACAGAAGTCTGTGAATCCAGCTTTCTGATATATATATAAACGCATGTTAAATGCACAAAATTGTGTCTACTCACCATCTCTTGGGCACTGACAGCAATAGCTTTGGAGTATCTCACCATGGTAGTCTGATACTCCACAAATGAACCTTCTGGCTCTGGTGGGGTGCCTTCACCCAGCTATAGAACCACAAAAACATAAAAAAATAGTACATAGCACCATGCGCATATAGATACACTGAATTATATACCGTGTTTTTTATGTTATGTGTTAATAAGCACAAGCAATAGTAATTTAGTAAGTAATGTATATTTATATAGCGCATTTTTTGTGTATGGCCAAACACCCAGAGCACTCAACAATCATGAGAGGGGTCTCTCCTCATCACCACCAGTGAGCAGCATCCACTTTGATAATGCAACAGCAGCCAAAGGACAACGGCGCCAGTGCACTCACCACACACCAGCTATTGGTGAAGTGGAGAGACAGTGATTGAGACAATTTGGGGGATGGGGAGGATTGGGAGGCCATGATGGGTAGGGAGCCAATGGAGGGAATTTGGCCAGGCTACACACCCTACTCATTACGAGAAGTACAATGAGATTTGTTTTAAAGCCACAGAGAGTCAGGACCTCAATTTAACATCTCAACTGAAAGAGGGCGCTCACTGACAGTATAGCACAGACTGCAGGTTGAGCGCCCCCCTGCTGGCCTCACTAACACCACTTCCAACTGCAACCTAGCTTTCCCATGTGGTCTCCCATCCAGGTACTGACCAGGCCCAGCCCTGCTTAGCTTCAGCGATTAACCTGTCTTGGACTGCAGTGGGATATAGATAGGTTGCTGGCTGTAGTTTTAATGGAATTATTGAGTGTTTTAAAAATGAATATGTCACCCAAAACAAATAATTCCTGATTATTTATTTATTCCCATAAGCTATACGAGATATGCAAGACTTACTTCAGCCAACGAAAATTAAGGGTTTTGGAGAAAATCATTAAAGCATATGCAATTGAACGGGGATCAATAAAGAACATTTTTGACCATCTAAATTTCATATTTAGATTGTTTAGTAATGGATAGCCTTCAATTTACAGTCTTCTCTGATGAAATGCTTAATCATTTTCAGAGGGAAAAAAGTTAAAAACCTAAAATTTAGCAAACATGAATTTAAAGGGAGAGTTTCTGGGATAAAAATGTAAAAAAAAAAAAAAAAAAAAAGGAAACCAATTCTGTCATCATTTTCTCAACCTCCATTTGTTCCAAATCTCTTTGAGCTTCTTTTTTTCTATTGAACAAAAATAGATATTTTGAAGGATGTTGCAAAGCAGCAACCATTCACTTTCATAAAATGTTTTGTTCCTAATATGGATGCCAATGGTTGTTGGCTTTCAATATTCGTCAGAATATCTTGTTTAGTGTTGAACAGAAAAAAGAAATTCAAAAAATGTTTAAAACTAATTAACTCTAAGCAAATGGTGAACTTTTTGTCTTTGGATGAACTGTTCATTTTAAAAAGAATTTGGCTTTTTATCCATGTTATTATTTTTAAAATATTTTACTCATAACCCTCAATCTAGAGTTAGTTTGGTGAACCCTTGTTTGGCAACCCCTGGTTTAGAATGCAGAGGTTTGTGGGTTATTACCTTGCCCATGGAATCAGCAATGGAGTCCACCATGCCACTGACCATGCCAACCTCACTAGCAGCTTCATTCAGGGTCAGCAGGAGGTCATCAACAGCTTCCCTCATTAACTGCGCAGCTTCTGCTATGGCATCATGAGTATGAGACGCCTGAATACAAAGCAGGTAATAACCACGTTAAAAGATTAAAAATTTGTATTAAATAAAGAACATATGTGAGTAACCAAGAAATACCTTTGGGTTTCCACCACCCTCCTTGGCAGCGTAGAGCATTTGTAGAGCAGACTCGGCGAGGGTCTTGGTCTGATCCAGAAGGTTCATCTGCTGCTGGTGGTCTAAAGTTTTAGAGGCTATGCCCATAGAGGCTGAGACCAGAGGAGTGAAGTAACTGACCAACTGAGAGACCTGAAGGACACATGGCATGCATTAGTGTCGAAAGTAACTATACTGCCACATATTTCATTTCAGGCTGTAAAGGCTTGATAGTTTTGGTCACCTTATGTCCGAGCTGTGCTGCCTCTCCTTTCGCTGCTGTGGTAATTGGCTCAATCAGGTGACCGACCTCCTGAACAGATGAGGTCAACTGCTCCTGCAAAGCCTGATACAAAGAGTTCTAGTCAGAAACCCCACTTTTATATGTTCTTCATGGCTAAAACAATTATATTGTGCTTATTAGTGGGGTACAGCTATAGAGTGCTCAAGCAGGGAGGACATATTTTATAGCAGGGGTCACCAATCTTGGTCCTGTAGGGCTGGTGACCCTGCATTGTTTAGCTCCAACTGGCCTCAAAACACCTGCCTGGGTGTTTCAAGAATACCTAGTGAGAGCTTGATTAGCTTGTTCAGGTGTGTTTGATTAGGGTTGGAGCTAAAATCTGCAGCACACCGGCCCTTCAGGAACAAGTTTGATGACCCCTGCTTTATAGTATTTAATTACAATTACAATTTATTCTGCAATACTGAATCCATTAGGACCCATTCACATGAAGCAACTTTAAACATAAATATAACAATATACAAATCCACAATGACAAGCGAGAAAAATCTGTTTATTTTTAGTTTCATAGCACAACCAAGCAGTGAATTATTAGTTAAAATGTATCAATCTAATTAAATTAATTTAGCGATGGCAGGCAGTGTAGTGGAATAAACGAACTATTTCTCGAGGGTTAGTGTTAGGGTAACACGAGACACAGAATCTAGCACTGGAAACCAGAGGTAGGCTACTTGTATTTTTATACATTCATTTGCTAGCCTGGCTAGCATAACTTCCCAATATTTTTGTCACTCTTTCCCACATTATAATATTGTTTTCTAGATAGTAATTATCTTTAAATAATCTTTGAAAAAATGACTTAACATCAAGCAGAGCTTCTTTACAATGTAGTCATCCGTAGCTTTAAATTGCACAACCTTTTATATTTCAATGGATCTTGCGTAGTTGTCAGCATTTTAGCTTGGTTGATCGTTTATTAGCAAAGAAAAGAAAATCTTTCTGAAAATGATCTTGTTTCTCAAAATCTTTATTGTTATAGTTGTGGTCTGAACAATATTGAGAACTATATTTATTGTTATCTTTATAGTTGTGCTTGGTGTGAACACACCTTTAGTAAGGACAGGCATTTGCCAACATTTGTTTTGAGTATTTTACACCCCTAATAGCATACACAATGTGGTTGTGGTTATAGCTATGAAAGAAAAACACTGCAAAAATGCTTTTCTTACTTCTATTCATTGTCTTGTTTCTAGTCCATTTATCTAAAAATTCTTAAATCAAGAAGCATTTTCCAGACAAGTAAAAAATATTGAATTGTTTTAAGAAAAAAATATGTCAAAATTAGGTGGGTTTTTTTCTTAAACACAAGCTAAATAATCTGCCAATGGAGTAAGCAAAATAATCTTATGTCAAAAAACAAGATGATTTTGCCACTAACATATTGTTTGATTTGTTTTAGGGAAAAGTCATTTTGGCATATTATTTCCTAAAACGAGTTTTTTTGCTTTGCTTTGATAAAAATTATTTTAGACATCGCATTTTAGATACTGTAGAAAACATACTGACCTCAGATGAAACTTCATCTCTACGAGGTAGATTCTGGCTGACTGCTGCAAGAGAGGCCTGCTCAATATCTCGGATGCATTTATTGATATTATCAATGGCTGAGTCACACTCTTTCTGGCCAGGGGCTTTATCCCTGCAATATTAAAAAAGAACATCTATTAAAATACAAAAATATATATTAATTGTGCATCACCTCAACTTTAAAAACTACAAAATACTGAGTATATGCGTGTTACCTGATAGCTGTGATGAGGCTCTTAATGGAGTCGGAAACAGTGCGTGAATGACCTGCCAGTAATGACCATGTGGGTGGATCTTTCGGGTTCATAACCAATGACCGTGCTGTCTTCAAAAGGTGGGTGGAGCTGTCAAGCATGGAGCGTGCTGATTGGATGATTGGTTCCTGTGCAGCAGAACCCTAAATAATAGGTGTTAAAGCACATATATTACTAAAACCAACAAGCACTCAACTTTGTATAACATTTCAACGAACAAGATAGTCACACCTCTCTACTTATCTGCGCTGGGACACTAGCAAACTCTGGATTAGAAGCAAATGTTGTCAAATTGTCAACAGCTTCAATGAGCGGAGCTGTTGCAATGCGGCATTTCTCACGGTTTTCCTCTGAAAAATCACCATCCAATGCCTATAGTGGAAGAGATAGAGAGAAAAAATAAATGTTCAATTATTTAATGGGATGAGTGAATTGCAAAAAATTATTGGACTATAAAGGGGTTATTTCAACCTTGATTGTTTTGACCAGGTTGGCAGTGCTGTTTGCCACTTCTTTGGCGGACTGCACGAAATGTCGTTTTGCCACAGGGTTGGCAGTCTTCGAGGAAGCAAGTCGACAAGCGTTGCAAAGTGCTGAGGTGTGCTTAGCAACAATAGTGGCGGCTGAGAGCACCTGCAACAGACATGAAGATCAGATGAACAAAAGTCCAAACTCCACATGGCAAACATCTGATAGTCTGGCACTACCTGTGATGGACTACTATCTGGGTCAACAAGATTTTGGCAAGCCATCTGGATTGCCTGATTAGCACGGGCAAACTGGATAGGATCCACTAAGCCTGGATGTCCAGCTTGGCTGCTGGGATCAGACACACCTACTAGGTAAGAAGCCTAGAGACATACCCAAAAAATATAATAAGTACATTTGCACAATTTAAACAGTTCCCACTTTCAACCTCTACTTTATTTATAGAGCACATTTAAGTTCAGGTAGGCCAAAGTGCTGTACAAAGGTTTAAAAAAAAAAAAAGTAAAGGAAAAGAAAAGGAAATGAAAAAGAATAATGATAGTAATGCAAATAATATGGGAGGATATTTTGCTTTTATTTATTTGTAATTACAAGCACAAAAGAAAAGAAGCATTTTTTACTTTGATTTTAAATAAGACAGAAAAGAAGCAGTTCTAAAAGGTGCTTTCAAATAAATATCAAATTCCATGGTTTTTCCCTTTCACCGACTAAAATGTTGAACTTCTATGACATCTAATGAACAGATAAAAGGGGTCTTTGCATAATTTAAAAATGGTTTTAGCTTGAATATCATTTTGTACTGCTTTAATAGGCATTATGGGAACAACAATAGATAGATAATTCATCTCAGGTAAACAAAAATAAATTAATAAGAGGTACTTTTTTGTGATCTCAATAGTAGTATTACAAACTTTACATTTAGTTTTTCTGTCATCTAATTTTTTGAAGCCCAGTCCTCAAGGTGGTCATTTTGAAGCTAAAGCTTTAAAATGACTTAATTCAGAATTGATTTTAAACTGGTATAAATCCCTTCATAATTAGCCCCAACCCATCTCTCAGAGCTGTTGCATTTTTACACTCGCATGAGATCTCTTAGATGAAATGATCAAAATCTTCTTTAAGTTCCTCTGTGCAGACTAAACACAGAATGGACTAAACGCAAAACTTTCTCTGAGGCAGGTCCTTGGTTATGGAACACCTTTCCCCTTGAGATTAGAATGGCTCCATCACTATCTATTTTTAAATCACTCCTTAAAATGTACTTTTTAGCTTTGTTTTTTAATATTATTTTAATAGTGCTTTCTACTGCTGCATTTTTACATTTTTTTCATTTGTTTCTCTTGTCTTATTTCTATGGTTTTATATTCAATCTTTTTATTTTACTTTGTCTTATGTACAGCACTTTGGTCAGTCTTGTGACTGTTTTTAAACGTCCTCTATAAATAAATGAACTTTAAAAATGAATATATTTTCTGACATGTTACTTCCGATGACTAGAATATACCTTTAACAAAAAAAATAAAAAATTCAATGATTTTCAGGAAATTCCATGACCCTGGTAAACGCAAGAGGAATAGCAGAGTTGGTAGTTTCTTACCTGTCCAGCTGCTTCAGTTAGTCCACACAGAGCTTTAGACGCTCCACCAACACAGTCTCCAAATGCTGGAACGTCTCCTGTTTTACAGTTGTGAGAAATCCCGGCCATAGACTCTCCAAGTACCTGTATAGAAAAAAGAGGTGGATTCCATGATATCAACATGCATTCATATGTCCATGTGATACACAAGTACTACAGAATGAATGAGTTCATGTTGCTTGGAATATGAGCAAGTGATAAAGCAAGCAAATAAGAAAAAAATGGATGACAACTCAAAAGATTTACATTTATTCATTAAGCAGACACTTTTATCAAAAGCGACTTTCAGGTGAGGATAAGAAAAAAAGTATATAATAAAATGAGATGTAACCAAGGACCTAATTATCTCTAGTAAGCAAAGGAGTCCAATGACCTGGTATAAAGACTTAACATTTTTTTCTTATTTTATTTGAAGTTTTTTTGCAGTTCAGTAACTTAACAGCAATTATAGGAATACACCACTATAAGATTCCGATGTAAATTGAAAGACTTCATAATGTTGGAGCCTGTAAGACTTTTATGCTTTTGAAAAAAGTCTCTAATGTGGATCAAGGGTGCTAATTTATCACAATTACAGTAAAAACATGTGCTCAATATTTAATTTTTTTCCATTATTAAGTAACCATTGTAGTAGAATATTCAGAAGACAAAAACTTATTGTCATTATATTGTTTTGCTGTTTTTTTGGCCAGCTTAAAGTGCTCCTAAAAATAACCATACTGATATTTAAACATTTGTAAAGTATACTTGTATTATTTAGTTACAAATTATAGTTAATATAAATATAATAGTAAGAGCTGACAATGAAAAAAACAAAGTATATTAAGTTATAACACAATATTAAAGAGACTATAAAATCTGTGCAGCATTCATTAACATTAGCACATTGCTTTGCGTTAATGTTTGGTTTTGTGTGTAAAACCTGATATAATAGTATTGGTGAGAGTTACCTTAGAGTTCTCCATGACACTTTCAATGCAGTCAAAGTAGGAGAGATCATTGACCGGCTCATTTGGGTTATCAAGCAGTCCTCTAACAGCCTGTGACACCACAAAAAGAAAAAGTCAATATCACATTTTTGAAATAAATATTAAGACAAAGAACTTACTAGCAAATAATACCTCAAGCTCTCTTAAAGCATTGTCACATTCCCTCTGTCCCGGGGCATTCTGGGTACACATCGTAATCAGCTGATTGATGCTGTCAGTCACAGATCTGAATAAACACATAAGGTATGAGCAAAAACTAAGAAAGGAGAGCCCGATATTCACTTTTCCCAACTTATTTATATTTAGCACAACCTTTATTTTTCAGGTGATTTTTTCTTTTGTTTAATGGAAGTTGTGAAGTCAGAAGTGCAACCCATAATTTAATACACAGTAGTCATTCAGTGAAAAAGTTGAATAAAACACAAATAAATAAACACTGTAAATTATTCAAAATCTGGAATCCAATAAGGTTATATTTTTAGTAATGTTGACTTGTAACTCCTTATAGACTAGAATATTCTTTTGGGTTTGATTGTTTTCTTGAAGAAATTGTAGTATGTTGCATCCGACATTGTGTATTGTAAAATGTCTTTTTGTACTCTTTCTGTTCTAGTAATGTTACTGTTTATTTTCTTGCTAAATACAATAAAAATATACAGTTGAAGTCAGAATTATTAACCCCCTGTATATTTTTTTTTCTCAATTTCTGTTTAACGGAGTGATTTTTTTTAACACATTTCTAAATATAATAGTTTTAATAACTCATTCATAACTACTTATTTATCTTTGCCATGATGACAGTAAATTATGCTATTAATTATATATACTAAATAAAAGTATTCCGCTTAAAATGCCATTTAAAGGCTTAACTCAGTTAGTTAGGTTAACCAGGCATGTCAGGGTAATTAGGCAGGTCATTGTATGACAGTGGATTGTTCTGTAGACAATCGGAAAAAAAGAAATCTTGCTTACGGTAATGTTAAAATATTGACTGTAAAATGGTTTAAAAAAATTTAAACTGCTTTTATTCTAGCCAAAATAAAACAAAGACTTTCTGCAGAAGAAAAAATATAATAGGAAACACTGTGAAAAATTCTTTGCTCCATTAAACTTTATTTGATAAATATTTAAAAATATATAAAAATATTTAAAAAAATAAATCACAGGAGAGTGAATAATTTTGACTTATTGAATGGAATTGTAAATGACCTAGCAGCGGCGGCGAGCAGGTTCTTTGCGTTGCCAGCTCCAGGGTCTACAGATAAAGACTTGGCTGCCAGCAGAAGCTTACTAGAGGCCATCGAGATGTTCTTCAAATTTCCAATCACCTGCAACTGATCATCCTTACCCTAAAACAACCAAACATTATTGAGCATTTCATGAAAACAGAGAGAGACCCATCCACAAGCTCACTCCCCTGTCTCACTCCCACACATCGTACCGGAGTATGGCCAGCCATCTCAATACCAGCATCCAGAAACTCATCAAAGTTGTCACTGAACTTTCCAGAAGCGTCTGCGAGTTGAGTAGTGGTTCCTCGAGAGGCGTGGACCACATCTCCTGCAGACTGGTTCAGATCGGCTGCGGTCTGGTTCAGGTCACTCTGAGCCTCCTGGAAGCTCTTACTGCACTGAGGGAGCTGAAAAACACACACACACACAAAATCCATGTATAACAGCAATTATTTATTGAGGGAGACAAACATTATGATGAGAAAATATCTTGAGATAAAATAATTTAGATCAGGAGCCACCAACCCTGTTCCTGAAGAGCTACCTTCCTGCAAATTTCAGTTGCAACACTGACCAAACACACCTGTCTCTAATTATCAAGTGCTGCTTCAGGCCCTAATTAATTGGTTCAGGTGTGTTTGAACAGGGTTGGAGCAGAATTCTGCAGGACAGTAGCTCTCCAGGAACAGGGTGGGTGACCCCTGATAAAGATGCATAATTTGTTTTGCATTTTCATTTACATAGTGGGTGATAATGAATGGTTTTTGAATGACAAAAAGCGCTTTATTTGTAGCTCACCGTCTCAACAAGCAATTTCTTGCTGGCCTCTCCGATGCTTTTTAGAGCCATATCGACATCCTTTTGTCCAGGTAAGCAGTTCACACATGCGTTCAGCGAGTGAGACACAGCTTTTGCAACCTGACACATGAAACAGAGACAACACAACAACACAATAAGTAAACCAGTTAATTGGTCAGAAATTATTATTTTGAAAGACAATTAATACTTTGCATTTAATTGATTTAAAATGTTAATAAAGACTTGTTGTTCTTTTCGACTTTGTTCATCAAAAATCCTAAAGAAAACGTATCATTATTTTGACAAAAAAAAGTAAAAGATATAAAATAGGAATATTCCAACACTGGGAACACTTTTGTTTTTTTAATTATCAATAAATTAGCATATTAGAATCATGTCCAACTGAATGGCTGTTGCCTACATGGGTATAAATTAAATTTGAATTACACAAATGAATTAAAGTCTATTCAATTATAATACATATCTGGTGAATACATACATGAACTTAAAAGTATTCATTTAAAAAAAATATTATTAACGTTAGGGGTCACCAATCTCGGTCCTGGAGGGCCGGTGTCTCTGCAGGGTTTAGCTTCAACTTGCCTCAACACACCTGCCTGGATGTTTCAAGTGTACCTAGTAAGACCTTGATTAGCTTGTTCAGGTGTGTTTGATTAGGGTTGGAGCTAAAATGTGCAGGACACCAGCCCTCCAGGAACAAGTTTGGTGACCCCTGATTAACGTATTGAACATTTTTTATTTTGTGCTGGATTAACATTCAAATTTACAAACTAAATATTAAGATATCAAGTACATTCAATCCACTTTAACCAGTGATACACATTTGATCAACTGAATTAAACAATCTTTTAACCACACATAAAACAATCACTAACAATCATAAGTGTGTTTACTGTATTTATTTAAAAAAATTGCTTTCTGTTCTTCCATTTGTGGTGGTATTCATGTCTGTTTAGCTTTCAGGCATGATTTGAACTAATCATTAGCCTTCTCCTAAAATTCAGTTGTGCTGTAACACTGTTGGTGTCTGAATGAAACTGTGTGCATTTCCCACCAACAATACATAATAAAGTGTAGAAAAGACAAGATCACCTGTGCAAGTCTCTGTTGTATTTCTGCATCCCCAGGAGCAACCAGCGCCTCCTTAGCTTCAGAAATCAGTTTAGCGGATCCTTCCATAACCTCACGAGCAGAATCTAACATGGCAGCTGCTCCAGCGGGATCTGATGTGGTGGCAGCAACACCCCTTGCGGCCTGAGCTAATGTCTTCAGTGCTTGTGCTGTTTCACTAGCGGCTACACCTGTGAAAACAAGGTATGTTTAGAAGAAAAAGGGTTAAAGATGAGACATGCCATTTTAGTGTTCGCATCAAATTAAAATTACAAAGGTAATTTTATCTACATTGTAAGCATGTCAAATGCAAGTATGCAAGTGTATGCTTTAAGTTTTCAAAGAACATTTGTAAAAAATATATGTGAAAACATTCCAAAGTAGTTTTTTAATGCAAAAATAAAACTTCATGCATATTCTGATAAGTGCTTATTGGCATTAATAATTGAATAAATTATTATACTAGATGTAATAAGATTTCTAAAACAAATAAAAACTGCAGACAAATGAGTAAAGCCTAGAGGTTTATAAATTTTATATAAAGTATAGACTATTCCAAATGTCTCATCCGTTAGCGTAATTATGCTAGCAGTGATATTAGTCTTCAATTATTACTTTATTACACTTGTTCTAGATTTAAAAATGAAAATCGATAAAGATGTTACCAAATATAAATTTTACTCTAAACAGAAACATATTTAGGGTTAGAGATACTGTAGTTATATTATCAAAAAAGGGGCATAATACCAGTGTAATGCTCATTTCCCTGTGCTGCACAGGTAAGCAGTTGAGCCATTGAGGAACCAACAGCCTTAGATGTACCACCCAGATCCTGAGCGCACTTTTCCAACTAAAACAAACAAATGTCACATTGGAATTGAGGCATAATCATTTCAGAAGATCTCATATCATTTTTGTCAGTGTAGTTCAACTCACGGACTCTCCAGGTAAAGGTTTCAACTGCCCCTCAGAAGCAGCCATTTTAGCATCCTGGAGTTCATTCTTAAGTGTCTGCACTGCGATGAGGGCAGAGTCGATCTCCATCGGGCCACAAGCCTCATGAGCCTAGAAATCAAAATGAGTGGTTTATACTAATAGGAATGTTTTGAGTTTAAAATTTACAGGAAGTTTTTATAGAAAAATGACCTCTTGATTATCAAAATTCTTTAATTATTTTAATGCGCATGTGTGGAAGTCAGATTCACTACCGTCTGTGCAGCGGTGCGGAGTTCAGCCAGGGTGGTGGCCAGATTCTTCGCACACTGCCCCAGCTGCATGGCTGCAGCCTGATCAGTCACAGTTGGCACCGAGGATTTTGCTGAAGACACCATCTTACTTCCAGGCTGGAAAAAAAACATTAATAGAGTACTTTTTCTTGCTAATTAATGTGGTAACACATGCACACTCATTCTGCAAATGGTGGGTGTGATTTTGCCAAGTAGGGTGCAATCCTTATTTAGCATCTATGTTGATCCTGGGACATCTTTCCTGTTCAAAAATGCATTTCATACCCCTAAACCTAGCCCCAATTGTCAATTAGAGGGATAAAATGTTGGATGAATAATATGAATACACACATAAACATAACTGTAAGCCTAAATTTAACATTAACTGTAAATGCATCCCTTAAATCTGATTGGAATGTTGTTCCAGGATCAACATAAATGTCCTAATGTTACATCACGCTGACAAACCAGCAGAGTCCTGAAAATAAAGCCAGAGCATTCATGATTGCCCCCTGGTGGAGAGCTGCAGTTTACATTACCGCATCTCTGAGTGAAATAATCATGGTGAATTTCTTTCTGGAGTTATTTTCATTTTCCATAACCACACTGCTTCATACTTAAAATCCTTGTTGGTTTTCTGTACTAACCTGTAGAATCAGTGAAGTTTATTTATCAAGTAAAAATGTGCTCTATAAGAAAATAAACATTATTGACTAGCTAGCTAAGACAACTAGCCTTAAGGCCATTTCACACTAGCATGTTTAGCTGTCTGAAATGTAAACAATCAAAACAATAAATATCTATGGGAGTTAGATAGTTAGAAAGTTGCTACAAACCTATATTTCAGTATGTTCACATACTTACAACTGAAACTGAATACTAATTAGGGGCGGGCTTTCTTTTCCACATCATTCAGAATCAGTCATAGCAAACTAAAGGTAAGATGGGTGTGGCTAAAAATATAGTGGCTGAAGCTGTCAAGTTAATGTCAACAGTGGACCGCCATTTCAAACATGGAATCAGATTTTTTTTTTCAGTATATTAACTTGCACTGAAAATAAGTTTTGCAAATTTTGATTTCACATAGACTTTAATGTCTTCACTTCATGTTCACTGCTGCACAGATGGCATCAAATAACAGCCAAAGATGCCAAAAACAACAACTTTGCAACATTTTGGCTTCACTTTTCTACAATGAAAGAAAGTGATGATGCTCTATTCATCTTCTCATTTAGTCTCTACAGATGAGTGTCATGTTATTAATAACAGACGGATACAAGATCCAAGACCTGTAAAGAGATGATGCCAACCATCAAGCACTTCGGGGACAACACATACACTTAATACACAAGTACACTTTACAAAACATGTACACATGGCCATCACCAATATGCTTTAAAACTGCAGGTGAACTAGGTTTATAAACAATAATAACTTATATTTGACTGCAACTTACAACTTAATTTGATTGTAATGCAATAATACGCACCTTTTGCGAAGCTGCTTTGAATCAGTAAAAAGCACTATACAAATAAATTCAATTGAATTGAATGGATACCTGAAGGAAGTTCTGGCTGGCAATGATGAGAGCGAGCTGTGCACTTCCATCCTCTGGCTGCCCCTGACTGCCACGCACTCCCTGCACCAGCTGAGGGATATGGTCAGCTACAGCCTAACACACAATAACAAAGAAATCACTACTATAGATAGCCCATCATTTTGAACATCGTAGAGGTTAATAACACTAATATTAATACAAACCCTGCAGCTCTGAACCAGTTGTTGGTGGGCTGCTGTGTTTTTGTTAGAAGCTGCTGCGTTCTGGGACGCCGCAATGGTTTGAGTGGCAGCAGCAGCGGCCTGTTTAGCAGCATTCTGAATGAAAAAACAGAAAACATAGAACAGACAGTGCAGCGTTTCATTCAAACTGTAGGAGAGCATCAAATAAATTCTCTCTTGCGTTAATCACATTGTTCTGTCCAGGGTTCCCACTCTTTCATGAACAGCAGATTCAAGGACTTTTTAAAGCACCATTAAATTTAAAGCAAGCACCTTTGTAATTCAAATGGCAGCTTATATAGCAGCATAGATTATAGATAGATAGATAGATAGATAGATAGATAGATAGATAGATAGATAGATAGATAGATAGATAGATAGATAGATAGATAGATAGATATTTACATTTAAAAATGTCAGTGTAAAGATGTTTTGAATGTGTCATTTTCTCTCTCAAGATTTGATGAGAAACTCAAGTATGAGGTGATGTGAATAAAACGTTGATCCTTTTAAGCGGAAGTGACAAACTGCAAGCTTTACATGTTTATATCTTCAAAAGATGAATTTTGTCACTGTTTTGTACCACGCTAGCTTGTAGATATCCTTGAAGACTTCCATGCTGAAACTAACATCTAAAAAATGGTTTAACTTCAATGGACCTTTAAATGATTGATTTTCAAATTAAGATTCTTTTCATTCTGTTTTTGACACTTTAAAGGACATGTGTTTGTTTTCAAGTACGTTCCAGGCCTAGAATTCATGTCTAAAATCTAAGTCAGAAATAATGGGAACCCAGTCTGTCTGAACGTAATTTTTTTTCTGGAAATCAAAATCAGTCACTGACCTCCAGTCTTGTTATGAGTTTCTTCTTAATGGCGTTCTGTGCCGCAGCATTGGTGGCCACACGCAGACCCTCTGCAGCCTCACGCAACTTCTGCTGCTGGTCTTCGTTTTCAGGGTATGCAGCGGCTCCCTAAATACACACACACACACACATATTTACAAAAGCTTTTTACGTGTCTGAGTGTAAATGACATTTTATACATGCTTTTGACAACTGTTATTAAGTTATTTGTTCTGTAATGTTATTTTAAATGCAAAGATGACATTATTTGTCAAGACAACTTGAAATTACCACAAATTTAGTCATAACTCTGTCATAAACATAATTTTCATGAGACATTATAATTGTCATGATTTTTATAATAGCATCATTAATTTTTTTTTACCTCAAATTCAGTGGTTATGGCTTTAAAAAATGTTGTTAAATATTAATGATAGTGTTAAAAATTATATCACAAAGTAATGACAAATCTTTTCATTTTCAAATCCTTCATTTTCTTGTCGGCTTAGTCCCTTTATTAATCTGGGGTCGCCACAGCGGAATGAACCGCCAACTTATCCAGCAAGTTTTTACGCAGCGGATGCCCTTCCAGACGCAACCCATGACAAATCTTTCATAAACATAATTGTCTTTAGACATTATAAGTGTGTTATGAACAATTTTCTTATCATGTTTCCTTTTGGAACAAACTTTATTTGTCATTAAAGTGTCATTACTCTGTTAAACAATTATATGACAGAGTCAATAATGTTTAATAACATTTTTATAACAATTTCAGCTTGTACCACTGTAGTTGAGGTCAAAAAATAAAATTGACGCCATTATTACATTCATGACAATTATAATGCCTCATGGAAATCAAGTTTATGACAGATTTATGACAAGTTTTGTTGTTGTGGTAATGTCAAATTGTTATGACAAAGACAAAAACAGGTTGCAATGTATTTGTTTATGTCAAGTTGTCAACAAACAATGTCATTTTTTTTTAAAATGTCATAACTGAGATGCTGTTGTTCTTATAAGCATACTTAAAATCCCATTCACATCATGACAATAAAGGTTTCATAAAAAATCTTTTGAACTTAAGATGTGTCTTCAAATCATTACAAACTCAAACTTTTTTTCTAGAATAGCTGTTTTTTAAAACGAGTTTAAGCAGAATTAAAATGATTAAAGTGTTAATGCTCAAATGTTAAACCCACCTTTGCAGCCTCAACCATTCGAGCAGTGGCATCTGCCAGCAGTTTGGCAGCCGCAAGAAGCTTCTTGGAGTTGTTGACATCCACCTCCACCTCAGCATCTGATCTCATGGCGTTCACAAGGTCAGAGGTCGCCTGGGCAAGAACCCGCGCCTGCCGGACCATCTCACCTACAACAAAGAATGACACATCTCTATTACTAGAGCAGCGTAGAATGCATAAACAAATGAACTATGCAAAGTAGACTAGGAATTTAAATGTTTTAGATGCCACACAGCCACAGACATATGAATATAGTCATTCAAATAACAAAAAGGCATCAAGAATATTTATTGCTTGTATAAAAACCTAATTTATAGTGTGAATATAAAATGTGGCTTGGAAAATATTTACTTTATATTACATTTACTAATATAGTACTTTACATAATTAGTAGAATAATTAGTAAATTAATAATATACTGTAATTATTCAATTTTTCTTTTCTTGGTTTCTACATTTTTTTGTTATAAATTATGATCAAAGTTTAAATTATCTACAATAATTGTTATACTTATAAATATTAGATTTTTATTCTTGAATAACTGTATACTTAAAGTAATAAAATGTTTGATTTCTTTGGGTTTTATTTTCATTAATAAGATGGATTGTATTAAAGGGCTGCACAGTGGGTAGCACGTTCGTCTCACAGCAAGAAGGTCGCTCTTTTAAGCCTTGGCTGGGTCAGTTGGTGTTTCTGTGTGGAGTTTGCATGTTCACCCCATGTTCGCGTGGGTTTCCTCTGGGTGCTCCGGTTTCCACCACAAGTCCAAAGACATGCGTATAAGTGAATTGGGTAGGCTAAATTGTCCGTAGTGAAGGTGTGTGAATGAGTGTGTATGGATGTTTCCCAGAAATGGGTAGCAGCTGGAAGGGCATCCGCTGCATAAAACATATGCTGTATAAGTTGGTGGTTCATTCTTCTGTGGTGACCCCAGATTAATGAAGGGACTAAGCCAAAAAGAAAATGAATGAACGATTTTATTGATAAATATTAACTATTAATAAGAAGTTTTTAAACTTTTCTCCAAATATTTTCTCCTCAGCCCTTCCTTGCTGCCCCCTGAAGATCCCTGAACACCTGAAACGGACTTTAAATTTAAAGTAATGTCAAGGATATTCTTTAAAAATAAATGATTAACATTATTTAGCAAAAACACATTAAACTGTCTGAACCTTTTAAACAGTAATAATATGTTTTACCATTTCAAATATATTATGTTCTTTGGAGATTTCCAATCAAACGCAAAAAAAACCCATAACAGGTAAAAAATATTTATAACTATAAATTAAAAAATAAATGATATATGATCAATCAATCAATCAATCAATCAATCAAATGATCATATTTTACAATTATGATTGCTGAAGAATGCGTCACTTAAGTTTGCCTTTTAATTTTTCCACCACATGAAGAAATGACATTTTAAAATACTGTGAAATAGTAAACAGTTATTTCTAAATTTTAAATACTTTAGGTTGAGCACATCTTTCCAGATACATCTTTCCAAATCATTAAAAATGACTATTATTGTACATGATGCATTGATCTCACCAGCATCCCCCATAGAGCTGAAGATGTTCTCTGTGACGTTCATGATGGTGTCTGTGGCCTGGTCGTAGCGTCCAATGGGCTCTCCGCGGGTAGCGTAGTTCCTGACGTGTGTGAGGAGGTCACTTAGAGCCTGTGTGACGATACCGGCTGCTGCGCTGACAGCCTTAAGGAGCTCTCCATCGCTGGTGGCCGACAGACAGGCCTTCACACAACCTTCAACCGAACGATCCACCAGTTTCCCTGCTTCAATCAGCTGCTCCTGACATACCGGAGAGCTGATCGTGGGGCTCACAACCTACATAAACACATCAGTGATCATTTTATTTTAATCTGGATCAAAACAAGACATGCGTGTTAGATGAGGATGAAAGGAAAAAAAAATTCCATTTGCCAAATGCGTGGCTTTAAAATCATGAGAGGGGTAGTTTCCCCAAAACTGAAATTTGTCTATATTTACCCATTCTTTAACTGTTCCAGACTCGTTTGAGTTTCTTATTTGTAAATGTCAATTTTATTCATATTATACACAACCAAATGATAACCAATGTGCTGCACAATACAAATCACAAAGAGAAGGATATAAAACTGCAGCTAAAATAAACAATTCTCACTGATAAAATGCCAAATCAAAGAGGTAAGTTTTCAACCTAGATTTAAAAACAGACAGATATGAAACAGATCTTTCCACAATCTATGACCAGCTACTGTGAAAGCACGGTCACATTGCATCACATCTGCATTTCAGCTTCGACTTAGGTATGCATAATAATCAATGGTTTGATGACCGAAGAGACTGATCAGGATATACAGAAAGCAACTCTCGTCTATCTGCTGCAGAAATATTATAAACATTCAGAACATGAGGTGATGTCTGCAGAAGCTGTTTTAGGGGGAGACTAGCAGACATTATTATCACTGTGGTTGCTCTGGCTCAGTCCCGCTCGTCACCAAAGGTACAGTACATGATACGAAGACACACACATACATATGGGTTTGTTTGATGTCAGAGTACGGTACGTTTAGATAGTGTGAATGTGTCTTCTGAACTCCGGTGCGCACCCGTGAACCGCACCAGAGGCCGCCTGAAAGAGGTGGTCTGGTGTATGGTTCACACGAACTCTGGTCTGGTTCCAACTGAACAACAAACTATCGTTTTCATACTGTTCATTCGCGTGTGTGTGTATCTGTTTGTGTCTGTGTATTACGTACAATAAAGCTTGAGTACGGTCCCGGCAACTGAACTAAGTGAATGCACTCTTAGTGATTTAAAAACCAAGAGAAGAATGTTAAAAGTGACACAATAGTGCACAGGCAACCAGTGCAAAGAGCGTAAGACTAGTCTGATGTGGTCATGTGTTTTGGTACCGGTTAAAAACTTTGCAGCAGCATTTTGAACTAACTGTAAACAGGATAGAGTTGTCTGACTAATCCCAAAATATAGTGAGTTACAGTAGTCCAACATAGACGTAATAAAAGCATGAATTATTTTTTCAAAGATTTTTCAAGATAAAATAGGTTTGACAGATTTTAAGAGTCGAAGCTGAAAAAAAGCAGGACTTAAGCACTGGATTTATCGGTTTTTCAAATCTCAAGCCATCATCAAAGATGACACCCAGATTTTTTTACCCAAGGCTTCACAGAAAAGCTTGATTTACCAAGATTTACTGTTGGTTGCCTAAAAGACTTTCATGGGCCATACAGAATTATTTCAGTTTTACTCTCGTTAAAATCTAAAAAGTTCAAATACAGCCATGCTTTCACATGCGCCAAGCAAGATATAAGAGTCTCCAACCCACTTGAGCTCGGTTTTAAGGGCAGGTCAATTTGAGTGTCATCTGCATAACAGTGAAAATACAGACCATAAGCTCTTCTGCACAACACAAAAGGAGATATTTAGAGGAAAGCTGGAAATGTGGAACCATTGACTTCCATGGTATTTTTTGTTTTCGGTTTCCAGCTTCCTTCAAAATATCTTCTTTTGTGTTTAACAAAGTCATGAAGGTTTGGTACCACTCGAGGATGATTGAATGTTTTTGCTGTTGTTTTTGTTTGTTTGTAACTGGAGCTAAATACTGGAGATATAGATTATATTCATTTTTTACAATTTATTTTTGCTAAAAAAAAACAAACAAACAAAAAAAAAAAACTCTAAAACTGTATTTAGATTAACATTGTTAAAAATCATTTCAAAAGGATAAACAGAACAAAACTAATTCCACACAGAGGGAATTGAAACACAATCCAACAGATCATGCTTCATAGTTAAAGTGCTTTTACAAATAGAACAGGAGGGATGATCTTCTCCAAGTATTAAAAACTTGTATGTTGTCTTGGAGTGACAATGAATAAAAACAATCTGATTTCACTGGTTGGAAAACCAAAAGTTTGTTTTAAAAAAATAATGAGTCGATTTTTGGGGGGAATCATCCCTTTAATCTGTGATTTCCCCCTCAATTATGACTGTGTGTGTGTGTGTGTGTTTTCACCTTGGCACAGGCCACTAGTTGTGAAGTGGAAAGGGCACACTGGGTGGCAGCAGCGATAACCCTGTTCTGCATCACGCTGTCTTCAGAAACCTGCGCCACGTTCTTGGCCTTCAGAACCATCATAGCTGCTGCATTGGCCACAGCTTTTGCCAAGTTCATCAGCACATCCTAAAACAGACACATATATACAGGCTCAGGGTGATAAACACGCGTCATGCATTGTATACTTTATTAGACGCCTGTGTACCTGGAAGCGCTCATCGGTTTCATTCTCTCCAATCTGTCTGAGCAGATCTCCACTGGCCTGACCAATGCTGCCGGCTGCAGTCAGAACAGTCTGTCGAGGCTGAGTGACAGAACATAAACTAGTAAATATAGATTTCTCTCTCAATAGCTTCATAGTAGTGCAATGTTGCTGGAATTCTAATGAAATTTAATTCAGGGATAATAATAAAAAAATAAAGACTCAAAATGTTACATTTGACATCTGGAAAGAAAACGTCACATAAAAAAACATGCAAATCAGTTATAAAAGTAAAACCAAGTTAACAAACTGAGCATTTAAATGTGGAAAAACAATTCATGAAACAATGAATGAATGAATGAATGAATGAATGAATGAAAAAACAAACAATAAATGAAACAATGAATGAATGAATGAATGAATGAATGAATGAATGAATGAACGAATGAATGAAAAAACAAACAATAAATGAAACCATGAATGATCGAAACTGCATAAATGAATGAATGAAACTGCATAAAAGAATGAAAGAATTAATGGAATAATAAATGAATGAATAAATGAATGAATGAAACTGCATAAAGAGTGCAATAAATGAATGAAAGGATGAAAGAATAAATTAATAAATAAATGAAATAATTAATTAACAAAAATTTCTGAAATAACAGCATGAATGAAAGAAAGTAACTGCTTAAAAGAAAGAATGGATGAAACTGCATAAGAATGAATGAACGAAACCGCATAAAAGAATGAAAGAATGAATAAAAGGATAAAATAATGGATGAATGAGTTGATGAAATTTCATAAAAGAATAAAAAAGCATGAATGAAAGTAACTGGATAAAAAAATATTGAAAATGAATGAATAAAATTGCATAAAAGAATTATTGAAGGCATTATTGAATTATTGAATGAATGAAATTTCAGAAAACAATAAAAGCATGAACGAAAGAATGAATGAAAGAAAGAAACTGCATAAAAGAATGAATGAAAACTAATGAATGAATGAAACTGCATAAAAGAATTTAAAAAATGAATGAATGAATTAATGAATGAATTTTATCCCTAAAAATGCAGTGTAGTATTTTTGGGAGAAAACGAATACAAAATCTTTGACAATGATGCTTCTACAGTTGGCACCTCTCCTGACGTGGGCTCGACAGCTTTGAGCAGGTCAGAAACGGCTCCGGTTAGGGTCCTGGCAGCTCTCATCAGATCATGCCCACTGCCAACCTCATCCTCCATCAGAGCCGCCAGCAGCTTCACTCCCTTCGACATCTCTGTCAGGTTTGAGGAAATGGTGGTGATGGCACAGCCCACTGCAGTGTAATCAGTGTCTGTTGGGTCACCTGTGGAAATGAGACAGGACATTTAGCCAATCATTACACAGCAGAGGTGCATTCCAAACTTCAAAGTGTATATATAGTAAATGCTCTGACATATTTAAAGTGATAGTGAACCCAAAAACAAAAATTAACTTTGTTTACTGAATCCAAACCTTTAGGGGTTTGTTTTTTTCTGTTGAACAAAACAACATAATTTAAAGAAAGTTGATAAAACCTGCAACTATTGAATTCCATAGTAGGAAATAAAAAATACTATAGAAGTCAGTGGTTACAGGTTTTCAGCTATCTTTAAAATATTTCAAACAGGTTTAGAACTGATGAATAAATGATAAGACTATTTTTAGTTTTTAAGAGTCATGTTGTATATTACTAAAGACTAATTTCTTTGTTTAAAAGGCTTTACCGGCAGTCAGATTGACCACAGAGGCAGTTCCAGCTGTGATGGCATCCACCTGAGAGTGAATGTCATGCTTGGACTCGTCCATTTTGTTCTGAATCCACATCTTAGAAGCCTGAATGTGAAGTAAAAATGAATAAAAGTAAAAATTAAACAGAAGCAGCATGTACACACAGACATCACCTACAGTTGAAGTCAGAGTTATTAGCTCCCCTTTGAATTTATTATTATTTTTTTTAAATATTTCCCAAATGATGTTTAACAGAGCAAGAAAAACTTCACAGTATGTCTGATCATATTATTTCTTTTCGAGAAAGTCTTATTTGTTTTATTTTGGCTAGAATAAAAGCAGTTTTTTAATTTTTTAAAATCCATTTTAAGGTCAAAATTATTATCCCCTCTAAGCTAGATTTTTTCGATAGTCTACTGAACAAACCCTCGTTATAAAATAAGTGCCTAATTACCCTAACCTGCCTAGTTAACCTAATTAACCTAGTTAAGCCTTTAAATGTCACTTTAAGCTGTACAGAAGTGTCTTGAAAATATCTAGTCAAATATTATGTACTGTCAACATGGCAAAGATAAAATAAATCAGTTATTAGAAATGAGTTATTAAAACTTTTATGTTTATAAATGTGCTGGAAAAATCTTCTCTCCATTAAACAGAAATTGGGGAATAAAAAATAAACAAACAGGGGTGCTAATAATTCTGACTTCAACTGTATGTACTATATAAGTGCAGGTTAAGTATGTTTACACATAATAATTTTAATGTTTAAAAGCTATTAGTTACTAGTTAATTAGTTAAATTTATTAGTAACTAATAAAGTTATGGTAACTACTAGTAAACTTTTCCTAATTTGACTGTAATGCCATAATGTGCACATTTTGTAAAGTTGCTTTGAAACAATAATTATTGTAAAAAGCACTAATAACTAAACAACAAATAAACTTGAAATGAAGCAAATAGACTAGTATTAATACAACTGAAAATTACAGGAGAGTAAATGTGAAGCCTATTACATTAATCAAGCAGAAATAAAAATAAGAAAAATAAATTAATGAAATTAAAAGTTCCCTAAATAAATTATTACACATATTATTGTATTATTTTGGTAATACATATGCTTTGTGTTCAAGATGATTTCTCATGTTCATGTTTTCTCATCACAAATAAAATGTACTGTTAAAATAAAATTTATATAGGTAATAAGTACAAGCAAGTAAAAAAAAATCTATGATATTAAATAGAGATTAAATTTGTAGCGTAGTGTTTGTTTTTTCACAACATCAACTAAACTGAAACAAAATAAAGTAAAAAGTTGATAAGTTAATAAATAAGAAAGCATCTCATGCATGCAAAAAAATGCTAAACTTTTCACGGCATCTAAATATTGCTGTACTCTGGTGATTTGAGGAGCTTCTTTCATCCTCATTTTTAAGTAGCTTTGGACAAAAGCATCTGCAAAATGAATAAATGCAAATGTAATCGTCTCACCATGTCATCCCCAAGTGGTGGCAGCTCCTCCACCTCCTCCAGATCGTCCTGCGCCTGCTGCACCGCCTGCATACTGGTGTTAATGGTTCCCACAAGAGCCTGCTGGGCTGCACTCTGATCACCCAAGTAAAAAAATTCAATAACTACACTGTGAGCCACCAATACATCTCAAATATGATCGCAATAAACTGGTGAACAACCAATATGTATTACTCAAGGGCTGATGCTAATATCTAGATAGCCAAGAGGCCAATATGAGGTCATTAAATGCATTTTATTGTAATTAGTTTGTTTACTTATTGCTACATCAGCAACGTATGGCTCTTTTATGGCAGGATTAATATAGATAAAAAACTTATTACATAATATTAGTTTTATTTTCAAATAACGAGAGCGTTTTGGTAAGCGTGGACTCACCAGTGGTGGCATGTGTCCAAGATGCATCTGTCCAGTTGTGATCTGTTGTTGTGGAGCAGGCATTGTACCCATGTTCAGCGTTTCTGCCCCAACAGAACCAGACCTCAAGATGCCAGGCAGTGCCACAGAGCCATGCTCGACCCGTCCCACACGGTTAAACTGCTGCTGCAATATAGTGGATCTGTGAAAGACAGGGAACAAGAGAGGTGGATAATGTTTTCAAAAAAACATAGAAGTGTTTATAGACTCTTTTTTAGAAATGCTTCTGTTTTCTACATTTGTTTGTATAGCTAAGATCGATTTTTGTTCTATTTTCTATAGACATACTCTTCATATCTAAAGTTTTAAGTATTTTATATTTGGTCTTATTTTCTATAGCTTTAACTTCTATTTCAATGTCAAAAATTGTCTGTTTGTTTTACTTATTATTCTCCATAATTTAGATTATTATTAGGGCTGCACAATATCGGAACATACTGACGTTGCAATATTTTTTTAATAAGTAAAATTTCACCAGATGACTTGAATATTTATGCACATTTACTTCCATGCAAAATCATCATAATTAATATAAATTTATGAATTCTTTACAAAAAAAAGAGCTCTCACTCTCATTCTCACTCTATTTGTAAAGAATTCAGAAATTTGGATTAATTATGATGACTTTTCAGAGTAGAGTATGTGCATAAAATATGATTTCAAAAACAATAAGCAAAGTTAATACAGCAGATCAAAGATACAAAATAAATAAACAACAATTTATATGATTTTTTAAGGGAGTCGAACAGTACTGATGAACAGGAATTAAATAATTAAATGAAAAATAACACTATATTGTTTTAATTATGTAAATAAGTATATTGATATTGTGAGCTACAAATGTTTAATTTATTGTGGCCAATAAATCTTCTTAAATTTGCTTGGAATTCTTACACGGTCACAGGCCTTAAAAACATATATATATATATATATATATTTTATATAATATATATACATTTTCTCTCTAATTTTCATTCATTTTTCTTCGGCTTAGTCTCTATTTCAGAGGTCGCCACAGCAGAATAAACCGCAAACTGTTCCAGCATTTGTTTTACACAGCAGATGCCCTTCCAGCCACAGCCCAATACTGGGAAACACCCATACACACTCATTCACACACACTAATACACTACAGCCAATTTAGTTTATTCAATTCACCTACAGTATAGCAAATGTCTTTGGATTGAGGAGGAAACCGGAGTACCAGGAGGAAACCCACGAGAACACGGGGAAGAACAAACTCCACACATAAATGTCAACTAGCCCAACCAGGACTCGAACCAGCGACCCCTCTCCAATGTTAAAATCTAAAATTACTATTCCTATAAAATGTGATATTACTAAAATAGTAATCCGCTATGTTTTATCTCTGGTCAACTTTAATCCAGAAGATCCTGCGATGTGACTATCGGGATTCGCACATTGTGATATCAATGCTGAAAGGATATATTCTGCAGACCTTATTCTTATTGGCATTATTTTGTTTTTGTTTTTTTCACGGGGGATTGTATAAGCCCCTCACAGCACATTGTACTGTGTATATGACAAACAGAATGTGAATTTGGATGGAGTGATAAGGAAAGGGCAATGTTTGTGTGCCGGTAACTCTGCATTTGGGGCTTATTCAAGCAGAGGAGACGCCAGCAGTCATTAAAAACACACTGAGAATAGAAACAGTGTGCTGAACAGGTAACCTCAGCTTCATCTAGATAAATACAGACTCAGATAAGTTTGTTTTTCCACTGTGCTTTTCCTGTAAGGCTGTACTGGTCTGAGCAAAGACATTTCCAAAGAAAAATTGCCAAGAAATGACAAAACCTTGAAAGGAAATATGGTTATCATCAAAGCTAACTAAAAATGTGCGCGTCTGTCTTACTTTTTTGGAGAAACGGATTCCTCTAACATGGTGGCCTCCTCATCTCCCTCTAAACCAAACCGGTCCTTACTTTGTTTCTGTAACAACGAATAAACACACAGTTTATACACATTTACATAGAAGATTTAGATCTCATTACCTCAATAATGCCAATTTGTAATATACAAATACTAAATAGACTTTTTTCAAAAGGAATAGTTCACCCAATACTGACAACTCGCTTTATTTGTTTTAACCCTTCATGATTTTTTTTCTGTTGAAAACAAAAGATATTTTAAAGAAAACTGTTGACCATTGACTTCCATTGTACTTGTTGTTCCAAACAGGTTTTCAGCTTTCTTCAAAATATATCTTTTAGTATTTAACCAAGTAAAAAAACTCACTTGAGTGAATTGTCAATTTTTTGGGATGAACTATGTCTTTAACAGAAACCTTTTTATGAAAGCTCAAAATAATTGAATGTTGAATAACTCATGAGAGAAAAGCAGTTAAGTGAGTGAATACTGGCCTTCTTGAGAATGATATCGATGTAACCAGCTATAAGCTGAGAAATCTGCTCCCCCTCAGTGGTTTGAACAGAGTAGTAGCTTTCCTGATACTCCCCGAAATCCTGCATATGGACATGAACAGGGCTTTTTGGTTATTTATTGTAGCATTAAACAAAAGAGTTGTGCATCTTAATAGACCCTTTTCACATTTCTGAGTTTCTCAGCAGCAGATGTCGTCAGAATACAACAAATATTTTTTTTACAAGCCTATTTGCTAAAATAATAAAAGTAAAACTCCACAATGGTGTTATCAAGACTTTCAGAAAAAGGAAAAAAAATGTGTGAGACCGATAATGGCAGCCAGAAAAACAAACTTTTAATAAGCCTTAGAGAAGACATTCACTACAACGTATTTCAGGTTTCTTGTCAGGTATATTTTAAAATGAGATTTATCTGATGACATAATAATATTAAGGATTTTAAGGATCCCTATTTTAAGGATCCCGGTGTAGCCTATACGCTAATTAATATTATTTTAAACCTTTATACTTTGCCACTAACTTTCAAACAACTAATATAGATCTTACTCTTTTGTATAGCCAGACTCTTTTATATATTTTAATAAAGTACAGGTCGAAAAAACAAAAGCTTGATATTAAGTTATTAAGTATAATATAACATAAGACAATAATAAGACAAAAAGTCTAATATATATATATATATAAGCAGCACAACATTTTCAGCTATAATAACAATAACAACAACAAAAACAACAACAACAACGAAAATATACTAAACAAATATACTATAACAATTCTAAAAAGAATTTCAGTCCCATTTTGTATTAAGTGGCCCTAACTAATATATACTTACATAGAAATTAATAGTTTGTTACAATGTACTTATTGTGTAAATATTTGTATTTACCGTGTACTTATGCTTGATTAACTACGTGTATGTAATTACATTCGTAACTAACTTTTGTAATTACATTTGTAAATACACTGTTGACCATCCCATACACCTTAACCTACCCTTAAACCTACCCATGCCACCAAACCTGTTCATAACCCAACCTCTATCCCAACTCAAAAGAACCACAAGTGTTCTCAAATACATTATAAACACAGTAAGTACATTGTATTTATTTTTTTGATGTAAGTACATAGTAGTTAGGGACACTTAATATAAAGTGGGACCAAAATTTCAAAAATGCTTCCTGTAAACCAGCATATGTAAATGATTTCTGCATGATTATGTGAGGATGAAGACCTGAGAAATACAATTCAACTACATTGTAAAATATGTTAATATATATACATATTTTTTTTAATTGTAATCCCGTTTCACAACATGATTACATCATACTCTATGTTGGCCAAATTCAGTTAAAGTGAGAATTATTAGCCCCCCTGAATCAATACCCCCACGGTTTATATTTTCCCCAACTTCAGTTTAACGGAAAAAAATACTTTTTCAACACAATTCTAAACATAACAGCTTTAATAACTCATTCCTAATAACTGATTTAATTTATCTTTGCCATGATGACAGTAAATAATATTTTACTAGATATTTTTCAAGACATTTCTATACAGCTTAGTGACATCAAAAAAAAAAAAGTTTAAAGGGGCTAATAATTTTGACCTTAAAATGTTTTTAAAAAATTTAAAATATTCTAATCGAAATAAAAGAAATAAGACTTTCTAAAGAAGAAAAAAAAATTATCAGACATACTGTAAAAATTTCCTTGCTCTGTTAAACATCATTTGGCAAATATAAAAAAAGAAAAAGAAAATTCAAAGGGGGCTAATAATTCTTCAACAGTAGATACAGCTTTGATAAGTATATGAATATATAATCATAATAAAACATAAGACTTTTCCTGATTCCAAAAAAAAAAAAAATTGAGCTATCAATTAAATTGTGAGAGTGTAAGAGTTTGCATGTGATGTAAGTACCAGTGTAAAGCTCTTGGGTGAGGCGGCCCATCTCTTCACTGTAGTAAGAGGCCACTCCTGAACCACGTCTTTGGTCTTCTCATCCACTCGCATCACTGACTCTTTGGTTACACCCAGTAGCCTTGGCACCAGCTTATTTTTACTTTTCATTTTTTCCTGAATTAAAAAAAAAATTTTTATATATATATATATATATATATATATATATGTATGTATGTATGTATGTATGTATGTATGTATGTATGTATGTATGTATGTATGTATGTATGTATGTATGTATGTATGTATGTATGTACGTACGTACGTACGTACGCAAGCACGCACGCACGCACGCACGCACCCACGCACACACACACACATACACACACACACACATATATATATATATATATATATATATATATATATATATATATAGTAGTCAACATTTTAAGTGGATCTGAATCGTTTATCAAAGTGGTCCTAACACTATTGAACAAAATAGTGTATCTTGTCCATTCTTCACAACTTCGGAAATTTGTATTACCATCATCAACTAATGTTTATTATTGTAAATATGAATACTAATAAATCAACAAACAAGTTTAAATGAAAAATGAAAAATCTTCACAATTTTCTCAATATGAAGTGGTTCCTAACCTTGAGTTGAATCTATGAGTTTCTTTTTTCTGTTTAACTCGAAAGAAGATACTTTGAAGAATTTTAAGAAACGAGTAATAATTGACATCCATAGCAGAACAAAACAATGCTATGAAAGCCAATGGCTACTGGAATCCAACACAATATCTTTTTTGTGTTCAACAGAAGAAATAAACTCAAACAAGTTTGGAACAAAGATGGAGAGTGAATAAATTATTCATTTTTGGGTGAACTATCCATGTTCAAAAAAACAAACAAACAAAAATCTTACAAAACCCCACTGATGTGTTCGACAGATTTCGCACAAAATCCATCCTCAAGAATTTTTTTACAACTCCTCCACATGACAATCTTTCTTTATCCTCACAGAATCACTTAAGCATTTCATCCGTCTTACGTTTCCACACTTTCTCTCTCTCAGAGCTGTCAGCAGACGGATAAGCTGAGCTCTGCTGTCCTGTCTGCGTTTCAGAGCTCTACAATCGCTGACAATCTTTTTCACTTCAGCCATGAGGACAAACGCATTTATAAAGAAACAATCTGGAATCAATTAGACTTTTATGAATACAAAGAACAATTATATTGGTCATATGAGACAAATAGAAGGCAGAACTAAACCTAAAATCGGTAACTTGTGATCTTTATTTTTAGGCACAAGCACATCTGCTCTTAGCTCTGGCATTAACTTTTCAACTCAAGCGGAGCTGAATTGTAATCGGGCTGTGAGTCATGCAGGCCTCCAGCGGCCAGGAGCAGAGAGAGGAGATGGAGGATTTCATTCCTCTCAGATGATGAAAGCTCTCGTGAGGACATTGACTGGCAACATGTAGAGTGAAGAAAATTTCTGGACGTGTACGAAGAGGAAAAAAAAAAGGAAAATCTTTGTGACTTAGGACTGCAGATTTTAAAAACACCTTTACAACAGGTCAATATTTCATCTCTTGGCAATAGATTTGATTGGCCACTCCAAGTGCTATTTATTATTACAAATGACCTCGGGGGTGGGACACTCCTCCAATAGCAGAAAGCACTTCTGGAGGGAAATTTGTTAAGTGTTGAGTTCAAAAACAGGCAGAATGGTGTCTGGCAAATGCATTGCTTTTTTATTGTGTCATGTTTATCCAAATAAAACTAATTTGACACAACTTTTAATAGTGTAGGATTTTGTTTACTTATACAGTACATGTTGCATAGTATTAATTGTGGGATATAAAGCTTTTATGTTCTTCATGAAACATACAAAAAGTGTATGTATTTGACATCTCATTAATGATAAAATACTAAAACACTTTTCAGTTTCCTACAAAGCCTAAAACAATTCCAAATAGAAAAGAAACAGAAGACTTTAAAAAATGTAAATAACTTTAAACTTTAATGTCCTTCTTGCAAAGGAAATCAAGACAGAAGCCAGTATTGATTGATTGTAAAAAAAAACAAACACCTAAATGAATAAAACTGCAAAATAAAATAATTAAAAGAATTAACTTAGTTGTGAGACCTTAAATGGCTTAAAACAGGAATTTCAAACAGAAAAAAAGTCAGTAAATCAATAAATTAATTAATAATAATTAAATATATATATATATACTAAATCAGTAAATCAATAAATAAATAAATAAATAAATAAATAAATAAAACATGTAAAAAAAATAATAATCAGACATGTAATTAAAACAAAACACACGTACCTTCACCAAGAAGAAAGACACTCCATATGTTCTGAGGGATCTTGCAAGCTTCACATACTTCACTTTGGCTTCAATCTCAGTCATTTCACCACAACCCTTGTGTTCCTGTCGAATTCAAGAACAGTATATTCTTCTAACTATTTCTCACCTTTTCATCACTGCTTACAGATAGTGAAGTTCAAGATAAACAGCAAGCTGTGTAATAACGAAAAATAATAACGTTCATTTCTAATCACCTGAAAGATCTTCTTCTCCGCTCCTCTCTGTTTGATATATTCCTTAGGCAGAAACTCCTTCAAGCTGAATGAAATCAAAGTGTAGAGATGAGTGACAAAATTCTACAAAACAGGCATCGCAGTTATACAACACGCATATCATATTCAAAAGCATTCAAGCGATTTTCATATGAGGTTAATTTCATGGGGTAATTAAAACATTGAGATTTAACAATAATTTCTTGGCTCTTAAATTACGCATATATTTTTACTGCATCGTATATTGTAGCAATGAAAAAAAATGAAATCAAAGACCACCAAAAATTTTCAGTTTCTTTGGATTTACTAGTTAAATGTCAATATATTTTTTATTCTATGTAGGCACAGCTTATCTCAGCTGTCATTGTATATAGCAGGGGTGCCCAAACCTTTTCTTATAAAGCGCCAAAACACAAACTTCATTGAGGGTTGTGGGCCGAAGATAAATATAGCAAACTGTATACCATTAAAGTTGTCATGAGTGATTTCCTAATTTATTTTCCTAATATTTAAAACTTGAAAACATTACTTTATATGAACTAATGCAGTATAATTTAAAATAATATAGACATATTATGAACATATTACACTAAAAACCAAAAAAGCTCCCATTTTTTACACAATGCCGAATACACAAGTTGAGCTTTTGCCTTAATTTTCCACAATGTTTTGTGCATTGTACTCTATTCATCGAGAGACAGTATTTACTTTTTTGAATTTGATTAATTTACAACATTTAATTGAAACATTTAATTTCAGTTTGCTTTTTTTATAGCTCAACTCAACAATAAAACAAACAAACAAAAATGGTTATGTTAAATTCAAAATGATGATCACTGTTAAAGGCATTCTTCTCAATGCTCCCCATCATTCTCCTCTTCTCAATTGGAATGGTGGGCCAAATCAAGTGTTACCATGGGCCAACTTTGGCCCGCAGGCCCTAGTTTGGACATCTCTCTTATATAGGCTTATAAACAGCAAGCTATAATAAACCGAAAAATTAAAACATAAAAATTAAGAAAGAATAAAAAATCTAGGATAAGAAAAGATTTTCTAAGCACATTTGGTCATTTCTAACAAATTTCAGGTCAATTCCATGACTTGATAACCAGGGCTAGAAATTAACTCACGAAAAGACAATCACATGCACGCGGTTAACGTTAGGCCAATTAATAATCTGTTCAAAGAATGTTTAAAGCGAAAGCAACTGCTGCTTTGAAAAAGATATATTTTAAAGAAATCTGGAGCTCTTGAAAGCTTCTTTCTTTATCGCTTTTTGTCCTATTTCAACCGATTTTAACCGATCGCACCAGGAAACGGGAGCATGCCCACTTTATAAACAGTCGCGCGCATCCCAACACCTGTGTGCGAGTGATCATCCTCTCATTCTGTATTTGTCTGCCTTCTTTGCTCGAGTGAACACAATTATTTTTGTCAGCCGTGCTGCTTTTTTTTAAGACCACATTTTCTCACACCCTGCTTTTAAGAAAACTGCAATAAAAAATTAAAACTTTCAACCGGCCAGAGTCGGCAGGTGTTAAGCCTCGTTTATACTGGATGCGCTCGATTTCGGCCGGTGGAACGCACAATTTTTTTTGAGACTTGAGCAAACAGTTGAATATGAAACACTTTGAAGAGATTTTGTCTGAAACAGTACGGCTGTACAGACATTTATATGATCTGTGATAATAGAGATAACCAGATGATCATTAATTCTTGGCTAGAAATTGGAACAGCTTTGGGAAAGGTAGAATGTTTTTGGTAAAGGTTTGGAGGCCATGCCAAAAGTGGAGAGCCAGGTACACAATTACAAAAATACGTTTTTCCACTATTCAAAGGTTTTACACTGATGTATAAATCACAATTTTGATTTGAATTCCAGGCGAAAGTATAAATCTAGCTTTTCTGTCAAGACCTGATAACAACCCTCTAAATCTCAAGGTTTTGGGATCCCTGTATAAACGTCTGATATCATTTCCTCCAAATTTGAAAAGAAATATTGTCATTTATGGGTTTTTATTTTCCAGAAAATGACAATAGGTCAGAATTACTAATGTTTCAGTTGTTGTGGTTAAAAACATCTGGCTTATTCCAACAAATATTGATTGTGTAACAGTTTTGGAGTTAAAACATTGTAAGTGTGTAGTCTAAAAATTTATATAATCATGCCAACTTTTTGTTATAAATAAAAGTCACTTGTCATTTATAGAATAAAACAAAAATGACATTTAACTCAAATCACATAACCATAAATTGCAAATACAGAAAATCTGAGAATTTTCAATCTGTCCTTTGATTCTTTCCATCACTCTACAACCGAAAGCTCTGAATGAATGATGTCTTACTCCAGAAATCCAGTCTTGTGTTTATGTTCAATATGAGGACCGAACTGGATCTGCGTTTGAATTCCCCCAAACTCACAAGCCTTGTCAAACGACACCGGATGAGAACCGTTCAGAATGTCATCACGTGCCTGGAAAAACATGCAAACAGACTTTTACTACCAATCCACAGAAATGCAACTCAATCCAGATCAGCAACTGACAGAAGAAGAGCTGATATAAAGAAAACAGGGACTGCATTACTTAACAGATCGATACAATGTGTACATCAGCATGTTAGTGCTGCACTCAGAAAGGCTTTTAGGCGCAAGTGTCAATAAGAGATTTACAGCATTTTAACCTCTATATTGAACTGACATGAAAAGACCTATGGAAACAGATCATTAAGGTCAACAAATGCTGGATGAGCATTATGGCTTTTGCTATGATAAACAAAGTGGCACAAGGAAAGTTTGACCTGCACGTAGAGCAGATTGAGCTGCACAGGATCTCGCGAGTCCACGTTTTGATCGGAGTAGAAGAACTTTCGTCTCAAAAGTAACGTTTCACTTTCTTCGACTCCCTGTTCCCTAAATGTACGGCCATGATCCAACCAATTCACTGTGAAAAAGAGAAAAACAAAAACAACCAGTTTATGCACAAAAGCTTACTTGTATAGCAAAATAAGTCTGGTGTTCAAAAGAGCTATTAATGTTCTTGAAAGTTGCTTAAGCTCAGAAAACATACACTTGATATATTGTTTTGATTGATACAGTTTGATAATTTTTTTGCATTACAATCAAATCAAGTTAAAGTTACAATCAAATAGAAGTTATTATATATAAACAGAGTTAACCTACAGTTTTATAGCGTAAAAATTGCAGGCTTTCACACAATTAATTTATGTTGCTACAACACAAATTGATTAAGTTAACTTAACACTTTCAACAAATTTATGTGGATTGAACATAAAAAAAAAGTTACCCCAATAACATATCATAAATTGTGTTGTTTCAGCTTATTTTAAATAAGGAGTTTGAACAAGCAAGAAATATATTTTTTGAGTGTAGGTGAGATCTACACTGTAAAAAGCGATTAGTTACTTAAAACGAGTAAACCAATTGTTTTAAAAGAAACAAGTTGACTTTACAAAAATGGTGCAAGTAAACCCTTTGTAACTTGGAACTGTTAAGTTGACTTAATTTTTATTATTAAACAAATTACATTCACTTTAAAATAAAAGTAAACTAATATTTTTTTTAATACATCTTTATTAAATTAGTTCGTTTTTTCCAGCTTTTCTGCATCTAGCAATAGACAGTAACTAAAATCCAGAGTCTAGCCTGTCTTCTAAATACAATACAGGCTGTAGATTTTTTTAGACTTACTGAAGCACCAAATATGTAATATTGTAATAATTGCAGTATATATTTGAAAACAGCTAAAATAGTCTAACACTGCAAAAAAGGATTAATTGACTTTAAAAAAGTGAGTACAATAAGCATAATTATATAAATTAAGTCAGCTTACAGTTTCAAGTTACAATGGGTTTATTTTTTTAAAGTCAACTTGTTGCTTTTAAGGCAATAGTTTACTCTGTTTAAGCAATCACTTTTTACAGTTTATGTGTACATGTTTAATGAATATAATGTGTTTCATGAAATATTTATATTTTGACTTTTCATTGTGGAGTATTATTACAATTTATATAGTTTTAATGTAATTATACAATCATATTTATATAGCAATGGAAAAAATAAGGATTTGAACATGTTAATTTTATCTGTATTTAGATTTTGCGGAGTTTTGAAACTGCATTTCAATATTTGATTTTGTCTTGTTTCTAGTCAAAAAAAAAAATAATTATATATATATATATATAAATAAAATCATAAAATAAAAAGCATTTTCTAGACAAGCCAAATATAGTCATGTTTTCAGAAATAATGTAAAAATTAAGTGTTTTTTTCTTGAAAAATACAATAATGGTCAAACAATCAGCCAGTGGGGTGAGCAAAAGAATCTCATTTCAAAGCAAATATAAGAAACAAAAGACAAAAACTCTAAGGACTCTTAAAAACTCTTTTGCAGTGTGATAACAAGTGTTCAAAAATTTTACTTTTAGAATGATGTCATTTAGATCATTTTAAAATGTCTTTTAGATATTTACATTAATTTCTAGACAACACCAATGCTTAAGCTTTAAACGAGTTAGGAAATCAATATTTGGTTAAATAATTCAATTTTTTAACTAAATAACTAAAATATTAGCTATTTTAACCAGCAGTCATTATCGGTTTTAAAAAAATTCTAAAATTACAATATTTTTTCTTATATAAACTTTAGAACATAAGGCATCAGTTGACAAACATTACCACTTTACCCAAACACTGAATTTTCAAGTGTTCTCTTAATTTTTCGACCCTGTAAAGATGTATACATATATAACATTGTTTTGCATTATAAACATCTCAGCTGGCAGCTAGTTTGATTAATTAATTAATTCAATGAAAGTTTGTTCTTAACAAATCATTAAATATCGATTTCTTAAAATAAACAAATTTTACACCCCACACTTTTGATCGGTAAATGTATGGACAAAGATGCAGAGGGAGACAAAACAAAATGAAAAAATTACTAACAGAAAGAAAAGATGAAACAACTCTGAGTAAGTTTGTTAGTAAGTGTAAAGTTTAGTTCAACATGTCTATCTGTTTACTGTACAGTGGCTGTGTTGTTACCTACAGTCATCATCTGTGTGCAGTTTGGCTTTGAGCTTCTCCATCTTCCTCTCCTCTCTCAGCAGAGTTCTGTCTTTCTTCAGTGTGCCCGTCCCTTCATCTTTCTTCTCCTCCACAGTTTCCTGAATGAGAGAGTACTCTTCATAGTTGGTGATTCCTGGAACCACAAAGGAGACATGGTTATAAAGCTATGGTTATGCACTATGGTTTGTGTATGTGTATATAACAGCAGAATCAATACCACAATCAAAAGTCACTCTTTTTTCATGTTTTAGGGGGCTATTAATGTCACAAAAACCTGAATTCAATATCTCTAAAAAATAAATAAATAAATAAAAATAAAGTCATTTACTCCTGGGATCAGGATTAATTCAGAATTCATTATAATATGCTGAATTGCTGCATTTACTATTATTAAAATCTGAACAATGAATTATTGAGAATTTGATTGTTGAAAATGTAATTATTTAAGGATTAGAAAAAATAAAATTTATTAGAAATATAATTGTTTTTATGAAATTAGGAATCTCTTTGACACTTTTGGAAAGTCCGATGCATAATTGGAAAAATGAAAAAATAAAAATGTACATCTTTGGACAGTAGTATATTTGTAAAAACATATTTCTCTTGTGTGCACCTAAAGGGCTAAAGTGACAGAGCATCACTGACCTATTCTGCTGCAGATGGTGACCAGCAGCTCGCCAACAGTTTTAGAATCGTCCACCATGATGGTCTTCACAGCTCCGTCCAGCATTTTTACCTTCTGAGGCCTCTGTTTTTTCTTATACTCCAATATGTCCTGAGAGACAGAGAAACAGGGACTACACTGACATTTTCTGAGAGTAGTTTTGGATTCAGTCTGAGGCAAATTCTGTCAAATTTTTTTTGTTTTACGACTGACAAGATTTTTTTATCTTCCAAAAATGTTAATATTAGTTAAATGAACGCTACATGTTTTATTATTATTATTTTTATTTTAAAAGGGCTCATTTTACAAGCATCTTAGAGTTAAACAGTTGACTTGAACCCATTTTAAATCCATTCAGCTGATTTTTTTGTTCTGGTGGGCTCACTTTTAGCTTAGCTTAGCTTAGCATAATAAACTGAAACAAAGTTGACCATTAGCATTTGGTTAAAGTTTTCAAAAAAAGTATTTTGATCATTTTTGAGTGTTAATTTAAAGGGATAGTTCCCCCCCCCCCAAAAAAAAAAAAATAATAATAATAATAATTCTAACATGATTTACCCATCCTCCACTTTCCAAATCAGTTTCTTTCTTCTATTGAACGTAAATGAATTTTTTTCCAGCTTGTCAAAAACAACTAGCCTTTAAAATAGCTTATAAATCTCTCATATAAATAACTATCACTGTTTATCACACTAGTGTGTGTTGGCAAATATGATGTGAATTTGCTTCTATTTTGTACAAAATAGTTTAAAAAGGGCACGTGTAAGGTGCTTCTGTTCTCAAGAATCAAATCTGTGCAGAATAACAGAAACAAATGGCTAGAACTGTTTAAACGTATGCAATGAAGACATTCAAAATTACCATACAAATAGATTTAAGAAGCAAGCCCACAGCAATTCATTATGCAAATTATATGATAACATCATTAATGCAGGTTGCATTTTAAATGCTGATCATTCTTCAAACGAAATTCAAAGGAAGACTTCAGAAACTAGACGGCAACAACCACGGCTGAAGTTATCTACAAAAACAAAGCCGTTTGTGTTCAATCAGCTGTAAAACTGCAAAAACGAGCCCTAACCAGAATGTTTGAAGAATATAAATTGGTTGCTTCCCTGTACACGGTGTGAATGTGAATGCTTTTGAGAGATAAACAAGAGCAAAACAGAAAAATGTCAAACTTTTCCATGCAAACACAAAAATTATTCTAGCAAGACATGCTTTTGAAAGCTGGACGTGTTTGTGTGAGCTTTTATGAGGACACAAAATTGTATGATGACACAGATATGACCTTATTGAAATCTATTATGGTGTTTTTTTCATAATACAGCACAATAGCTGGCTGTCCTCGTAATTCAAAGCACTTAAATCATACTTAATTTTGGTGAAGGTAGAGTAAGGCCATATAATAAATAGTTTTACAGTATAAAATACATTACACCTTTGCAGAGTCCCTGTAAACTATATATACACAAGTATGTGTACACATGGTTTTATATTCAGTTCAACTCCAGTTTACTTGCTTCATAAAAAGTACACATCATTCCATTACAGTAAAAATGAAAGAAGTTGTGTAAGGAGTTGAAAAGTAAATGTATTTAATATGCAGTTTTAGAGTATACAGTATCTTTCCAAAAGAATGTTCAGTGAAGCGTGTTTGTGTATTAGTGTTTGTTTTTATCCCAGTGGGGACTTGCACTTGAATGCATCTAAATGGATGCTCATAAATCATACAGAATAAATCATTTTGAAAATGTAAAAATGCAGATTGCAACCTGTGAGAGTTGAGTTTACGTAGGGGGACAGAAATACACTTTTTGCACAGTATAAAAATCATTATATTTATAGAGAACCCCCACCAGGGGTGTGTGTCTCCTTTACGAGAGTTTGCCATTGTGTGTGTGTTTGTGTGTGCGTGTGTTTATGTGTGTACATGTGTATACTATTAACTATCTGTAGATGCGTGTAACACGAGAAGCGCATGTGTGCGGGATCGATTTTTCTTTTTCTCTGATGCCCAGATTTAAGTATTTTCTGTAGTGACGCTGCTGACAGAAGAAAAAAGCACAAGATGTGGGATGCGACATGTGTGAGCCTTGATTGATTTTTCTGCTTCTACACGATTTAGGCGAGCTCTCCTGTATTTTTTAATTCAACGTGTTATACGCCGTCTTTCACGTATATTCCAATATGGCTATGCAAGTAACATGAATCGTTTACATATCTTTTATGACTTCATTATCTGAGATGTAAAATGCATGGAAAAGCTGCCTATATAGAAACACTGCCGTCACACACACATAAAGAGAAGCTGCACGTGCTGGTGAAGTGTGTGTGTGTGTGTGTGTATATAGCAGTTTGACTGATAAATATGAATTTGTAGTCACGTCGTCAGCGGTAGCGAACATCATTTCCCGTTGTTTACATCTTTGCTACAACATACCATTAAGGCTAGACACTGTACATGTCATAATCAATTCTAACAAATAAAAACACTTACAGGTCGTGGCTCAGAGTTCACAGTGTCTGCTTGTTGTAGCTGCTCCATCTTTGAGCAGATTTTAACCAAATCCAGCACTGAACAGGGAGAGATTCTGGAAGCTGTGTTTTGTCAAATCATGCTTGCTATGTATTTTATAATTCTCTAGAACATAATTAATATTGAACTGTAAGCACTTCTGTCTTTGTGTTGTGTCCTTTGGAAGCCCAAATACAAAAACAGAGAAGCTCTGTGGAAATAGCAGGATGGCATTTTCTCCCTCTGCTGTAACGTTCCTGGCCACGCCCCTTAGCTGCGCATTGTGTGTGCGCGGTAAAAGAACGTTTGTGATCTCACAGGCCGGGAAGTATTTTTTGTAGTCTCCAAAATTCATTGTAGTCTTTGCCAAGCTAACTCTGTAAAAACCAAGGTCTCCTTTTGCATTGAACTTTGAACATTTTAAATTCAGAGAGGCTGTTTATGCTCACACAGCTACATTACACATCAACTAAAGTTTAAAATATGATGTGGACCACCTCTTTGATGGTTTAAAAAAAAAATCCTTCCAAGTTTAAATGTTGGAGCGTTCTAAAGGAAAAGGTTATAGGGAGGATGACTGGGAATGAAATACAACCAGGAACTATGCTTTTAACTACAGCTCCAGAGGTGTAGTAACAAGAGTACAAGTTTGTGATGCAGTTTGCGAATGTTCATTGAAACGACAGGTTTGAGAAACGGCAAATCAATGAACTATGTTTGTAACGACGCAACTTGCAGCTTTAGTTGGCAAACGATGGTTTACGGAAACACACCCCAGAAAAGCAAAACATATTCGCTTATGCATGCGTGTCTGTGTGTGTGTGTGTGTGTGTGTGTGTATGTATGCATGCATGCATGCATATATATATATATATACACACACACATACACACACACACACACACACACACACACACACACACACACACACACACACACACACACACACACACACACACACACACACACACACACACACACACACACACACACACACACACACACACACACACACACACACACACACACACAGTATATGAATGAATGAATGAATGAATGAATGAATGAATGAATGAAGAAGAGGTTTTTTGATAAACAAAAAAAACAAGCTCCTGATGAAAACATCATTTAACGCTTCTTAATTTATACCACACATTTTTTTATACCTTCCTGAAAACAAGCATCTGCTTTTCTCTTTATACGCGCGCACACACGCACACACACACACACGCACACACACACGCGCGCACACACACACACACACGTACACACACGCACACACACACGCACACACGCACGCGAGCACAGGGACTTAACAAACACAAACAAAAACCACATGCGGCAATGACAAATGTCTTTAATAACATCAGTGTAGTTTGTCTCGGTTAAGTGACAACGCATGCACGCACGCACTGATTATAAAAAATAACCAAAAGCAGTTTAGACCCCTTCTCACCCTTCAGTATAAAAAAATTAAAAAACATGTCACAAAACAAAGACAACAGTGCAAAGCCATGACACAGAACATTTGACAGGAGCTTGTAAAACAAATGATCAAAGCGCTTACTCCATTTCTCAGCATGTAATAATCCAGCGTCCGGCCTCCTTCTAGCCAGATGCCTTTCCTAGGGTCTTCGTCTGACAGAAACAGCCCATATTCTGAAGCTGAGGAAAAACAACACACGCCATTAGAACTTAGTCAAACAAACTGAGATTTATACTCAGTCTGAATATAGTATAGAATCAAGAAGGCGTGATGACAAACCTTGTCCTGTCTGGGCTTCTGGAACCCTCTCTCTGATGACCCGGCATGCGTCATATACAGCCGTTGAGGGCTCAAACTGCATGGTCTTCACCACATTACACTGCCTCACACAGATCTTCAGAGACAGCGCCACCATCCTGACGGCTTAAGGGTCACCAACAACTCTGCACCTGTGAGAAACAGACAGAGTGTTAGAGATAGGCTGATTTTAAGATTTAAATCAACATTCACAAAAATGATGTTGAAGACTTTGATTGTTAGCTACTACAAATACATTCATTTTTGATTGTCGGCAATTAGTTTCCTCTATGCAATATAATAATTTAGAAAAAGGCAAAAAAAAAAAAGTAATATAGTAAAACAGAAATGTATCATAAGTAAAAAAATATGCTAAATATTATTACACCATTAAAAAATGGTCATGATTTGAATGGCCATTTAAAAAAATAATCCTTTAGTTAGTTTCGTTAATGTATATGGTGAATACCCATGAATTCACTTTCCCAGAATTTAGTTTCTATTTTTTTCAACACAGTTTGTAATATTTTAATGAAAGAGTTAATTGTCTGATGATTATGTACTTTTATAATCATTGCAGCTTTTTTTTTACCGTAAATGTTTTTTTTTTCAGTGTACAGATTAAAATGACAGTTTTGCATTTGAATATAGTCACACTTTACTGAATTTTTATCAATCATTACTCCAATGTCTTTGTTTCAGAATTATTTTATTGTGTATGGCCATATACCTAAAGCACTGAGGGGCCTCCCCACTCCACCACTAGTGGGCAGCTTCCTCTTGGAAGATGCGATGGCAGAAACAGGACAATGGCGTCAGTGCGCTCACCACACACCAGCTACAGGTGATATGGAGAGATAGTGATAAAGACAATTCGGTAGATGGGGATGACTTGGTGAGAGCCGATAGTGGGAATTTGGCCAGGACACCAGGGTTACACCCCTACTCTTTACGAGAAGTGCCATAGGATTTTTAATGATCACAAAGAGTCAGGACTTTGGTTTAACCTCTTATCCGAAAGACGGCACTCACTGACAGAATAGTGTCCCCTTCACTGTACTGGGGCATCAGGACTCACACAGGCCCCAAAATGAGCACCCCCCTCTAGCCTTGCTAACACCACTTCCAACAGCAACCTGGTTTTCCCATGTGGTCTACCATCCAGGGACTAACCAGGCTCAGGCCTGCTTAGCTTCAGTGAGTAACCGCTCTTGGGCTGCAGGGTGATATGGCTGTGGCATAGATTTCATTTAAAATAATAATATTTATAAGATATCAAATTTTATGTTTTTGTAACTTTATAAAAGTCGACATATTCCAAAGTCACTTTTGATTAATGTACATTTGTTGAATAAAAAGTATGGTAAATAAAAAGTATGGTAATTTGCTGATAACAATGTAACAAAAGTACAGCATTTATTTAACATACATTTAGCATCCAATGCATATATTGGCTCTAACTTTTGAATTTACTCATTATAAATAAAGTATTTAATTGAATTTAATAGTTGTATGAATTTAATAGTTGACAGAACAATAAACAAAATTACAATTGACATCTTTATTCATAAAAGAAACACCTTCCCGAAAAGGGTGCTGCAAATAAAGAGAGTACAAATCTTCAACATGACCTACTGTATACCGCACTCAATACACAAAACTCTCCAACTCTGAAAAAGAATGTTATTTTGCCCCATTACAAACTCTGATGTGTGACAATAATGATACAAATTCAACTGAATAGTTTTGGTAATCTAATACACATGTAATCTATCTGTACAGCTCGTTTTCCTGTTTGAATTTCTGTTATTAAAAAGGTATCTGGATTCTGTCCCCCGGCCTCTCTTTCTTTCACACACACGCGCACACGCACACGCACACACTGTTAACACCTGAACTCTCCGTCAGCTGTCTTTACTCTTCAGCACTATACAAACTGCAAATTAATGAAACACTGACTATTACATTGTGTCTTTTGTTAAGTTTAAACACACACACACACACACACACACACACACAAATACACACACACAAACACACGCACGCACACACACACACGCACACACACACACACACACACACACACACACACACACACACACACACACACACACACACACAAACAGAGAAAGAGAGAGAGAGCTAGAGAGAGAGAGAGCTAGAGAGAGAGAGAGAAACAGAGGATAGCGTTTCAATCAAAAGGTCCAAGCTGCTTTGCTGAAATAAAATAAGAAAGTCTCTCCACTACTTCACAATCAGCATGGAACTCACAAGCAAGACACAGAAGCAGAATGATTGCTTAAAGACCGTGTATTTGACAGCATTCAGTGAATCTTTATTCTGCAAGAGTCTCTGTGGGGATGGAGGATGCCCTTGTACACAGTTGGCACACTGAACACTGGCATTTAACAGTGTGATTGGACCAAGTATGTCAGGGACAAGCTGTAGAGCTTTGAGACTGATAAATATAGATGGGGAAATGCATTGTTGGTTACGCAATAATCATAACACAATATCTGATTCAACTTGGTGTTAGCGGTGTGACCAAAAAAACTCATGAATAGACATTTATATAGAGGTATAGACACTTACAATAAACAAATGACCAAAGCACATTTAATACAAAAAGTAATGACAAATACAAATTTACAATCAAAAACAGTGGTATTCTATTGTGGCCGAGAGAGCTTAACGCACTGCAATTTAAGAAAGCACAAGCAATTACAAAAAACAAAAAAGTGAAGAACGGAAGGTTGTCGTGGACAAAAGTGAAGAGGGTTGGAGAGTCGGGGAAGAAAGTGAAAGTGGACAGTGGATTGGGGAGAAAGGTGGTTGAAGAGGGGGATTGGTAAAATCAGGTGCTGGATCAGATTTCAGAGGTGCCGGATCCGGTGTGTTCCGGCACATATTAAGCTCTGGTCAAATCACAAACATCTTAAGAGACACGCAGCAATTGGTCAAAATACAAACAACTTAAGCAACTTAAACAGCAATTACTCACGACACTTGGGAATATCCACGCAACACAATGAAAACGTTTCAAGGGGACGAAACACCATGACGGACCCTGCTGAGATATGGATGTTAGTATGTCGTGTTATCAGGATATTAAAATAAATCAAAACAACTCACCTTTCAAAGATTACCAATCACTTCACTGAGCAACAGTCACGGCATAACACATCCATATCTCAGCAGGGTCTGTCATGGTTTTAGGTCTCCATGAAACATTTCCGTTGTGTTACGTGGATATTTTTAAGTGTCGTGACTAATTGCTGCATGTTTCTTTAGTTGTTGGTGTTGTGACCAATTGCTGCGCGTTTCTTCAGTTGTTTGTGTTGTGAGAATTTGCAAGAGGTGTGCTGTCAAATTGATGAAGATTGTTTCTTTATTTGCTGGCGTTTTTTGCCAAAAAAATAAATAAAAAATGCTCCACAACTAGCAAACACTATTTGTATACACTTTTCAAAATAGCTTCAAAATTAATCCAATAAAAGTTATTAAATGAGCTATTAAAATATTGGTTATAAATAGAGTTTTGTTAAAAAGATTTATTGAGATAGATTATCTGTAATTGGTGGGCGTTGGCCCGTTTGGGTAGCTTTACATGGACATAGGAAAATTAGAACCGGTTTATAACCTACAAGATAATATTTCAGTGCATTTATGACCTTTTTTATGCAAGAACTCACGGAAACCCTGTAAGCACTGGCCTCAACCAGTGCCATGAGCTTGGATGTGCATAACATGCAATCTTGCTTTTGCTATAGTGTTTCAGAAGTAACACACATTACAACAAAAACAAAAAAAACAACCTCAATTTCAGACTGGAGACCTGAGTGGAAATTCAGCCCGTTGCTAAGTGCAAAACAACACAGTTTGATCATGAATATACTATCACAACCACTTTCTTTGCATGTTCCCACACAGACATCTGCATTCAATGTTTCCGAAGCACACAGAACCACAAGCAGTGTCTGTAGCAGCCCACCGGTGGCTCTAGAGAGCCCTCGAAATCAAAACTCTCCAGAGAATCTTCCATTTATAGACCTTCAACAGGATCACATGCTGCATTCAGGTTATAGCAGACCAAGCTAATGGCTGACAACTAACGCAGGTTCCTGCGGTAATGAAACGCACACATGCAGCCAGTCAATTAACACAACCTTTTATTTTCACTGCCACATATCAGAGAGACTGTAGCAGCTAGATTCGCCCACAGAGTCAGAAAAGTCATGTAGACTCAGTTCCAGACGTGACTCATGCTTGTCTGTCACCAGTGTTACTACTGCAACTGCGGGAGACTGAAATATGATTACGCTGCTAAACCCAGCACTCCACAAAGTTTCAAGTTCACTTAAAAACTCCTAAAAGAGGCCAAGATAGTTAAAGATTCTTGACACATCGCAAAATCAGTTTATTTCGATTTTAATTAGCTTCTGCTTTTTTATACAATAATAATTTCATTCATATTTTGAATTAGCTTTTATTTTTTTAGATTTTGGTTTAGTTTTTAGTCACTTTGTTTGACTTAGGTTATTTATTTTATTTTAAAATTGTCAATTTTAATAATGAATGATTTTACAGGGCTGGAAATTAACCTTTTTGCTTTGTAGCATTGGTGCTCCCAACTTTAAAAAGTTAGGAGCACCAGCCAAAATTTTGTCACACCCACCAATTATAAGCACTGTTACTAAAAGTTTTAATGTTATATTAACCAATTTACTGTATTTGAAATCAACACTAAACAATCAAACAAAACGACATCTGCATGCGCCCACCGGCCCTGCGCACACTGCTTGACAGAATAAACTTTGTTAACAATAATTACTTTGCTGTTCCCACTGGTGCTGTGTAATATTGCAGAGATAATATTGACATAATTCCTTATTATTTGCATACGTCATCTTAATAGCAATACCGTTTTTTTTCATGAGCTGCAATATTAGTTTTATCTTAATGAATGCAAGTCCTATTGTGATGGTGTACGTGGTGTTACGTTTTACATTTAGCTGCCACCTGCACTGCTGACAGCATCCTGATGATTAAATGAAGGATTAAACAGAACCTCTCGCACTTAAAAGGTGTAGATTTGGCGAACGCTGTTACCTGCAAACTCCGTCACACCGACTTTACAATGAATGCTTTAGTCATTTTCATAGCAAACTTTAAACACCGGAAGTCTTTTATCCACTCTTCGAAAAGTGTAAATGCTGTATTGACATTCAGCACATAATCACTGATCAGATGTACCATTATTTGAAACTTATATGATTTCTAAAACATAATCTGTCAGTGTTGTTTTCATTCTCTCATCTTCAGTGCTTTACATGTTCGCGGTTGTAGCTCTCCCTGTCATCTAAAGAAAGGCATGGACTGAGTGATTAACAGCTGATATTAACCAATCCGTTTGCATTCAGTGCTAAAGCAGTGGACCAATCAAAAGAGCTTGAAGGCGGAGCAAGCATTGCCCGCTTTGTTTACTGCAGCAAGTTGACATGACAACTGTTTTAAACTATTCATGCCCGCTGCATTTAGCATCTCAGGTGCTAAGATGCAGTCTGCGTGAATGTCTCATAAATCTGCGTGTGCGGTGAACATTTTGCAGTGAAAACCGGTCGCACGGCACCAATTTTATGCAATAGCACAAATGCTTCCAAATATATTTTGAGGTCGCATAGATAAAATTTGGGGGTCATATACGACCAACACGATCGCAATTTCGAGCCCTGTTTTAGAAATTCAACTTTGAGTCTCGGTTTTTAAGACAAAATTTTTGAATCTAATATTTGAAATAATTCATCTTGTCTTAATTTGAATCACCAAAGGCCATACAGTTTCACATTTTTTTAGCAATAACACTGCTACACAATAATGCAAGCTTTTAATTTTAAGCTTTCAAATGTTTTAGACTGACAGAACATTTTGCTTCAAAATGTACTGCGTTTACAGTTTTTTAGTTTACGTTAATCATTGATGTTGACATTAAAGAGCCCCATATTATGGGTTTTTGAAAATGAGCTTCCATGCAGTGTGTAACAGCGCTAAGTGAATGAAACATCCAGCTGAGGTTTTAATCTGAAAGTGTACAGTGTTTAAAACTATTGATTCTTTGGCAAAATAGTTGACTCAGAGTCAGATAAATTAATTGTGTAGGGTTCGGATCTTTTTTCTGAAAAGGTTGATGTCGATACGGTACATCACCAAATAAGAAGTGCCAGATCAGGTAAGACATGAACGTGCCTTTCCCTTCAGACACTAGCAGAGAATCACGAGACTGATTATGACACGAAGATGATGATCACTGACAGGTGGAGATTTGGCTGTGGGGAATAAACGGCTAAAGTTAATTTTCACAACAATACCAGAGTATAGCCAACCATCTGCGGTGCTTATTGCTGACATTTTTCTGATGATTGATACAATAACCTACGCTGCAAAGCAGCCGTTTACTATTAGAGGAAGGTGCAGCAGAGACTAAGTTTGAGAATGTCAGACTTTGACATGGACTTTATCAGTTACTGTTACAGTTCATATGGACCAGTTTCTTTCTCCGGATCATAACATGCAAGTGGGGGTGTCAAAATTAATTGTTTTTTCAGTGCACCGCAATGCAGACGCGGACAATTCAGTATTGGTTCAGTAATAATCATAACCATTTATTATTTACTGACGTCATTCATCTCATTTGCACTACGTCTCCCTGGCTTACTAGGGCAAGGTAGGAGAGCGCAAGAATTTACAACGCTCAAACTACTTAAATTGCAAAAGCTGTGCACAATTTCACTGCGTTTGTGTTGGACAGTCTTTCACTGACACTTACAGCAGAAGCCCCTATTTCACTGCGATTGAGAGTACTCCTTTTCACTTTCTCTCTCTCTTTCTCTCTCTCACAGTGGCACATTTGACCTGCTGGCATGACTTTTCTTCTCCTCTCTGCTGTTACAGCGATACTTCTGGATACAGACACAAGCGTGGGTCTGCAGATTTTTCTCCACCTCATCTATTATCGATCAGCTGTAATCGCCGCTGCCGTTTATCAGTGTTTATCATCGGTGAACAGCGCCAGAGCGTTAGAGCCAATCATTGCCCTTTCTGTTGAGCGCATGACCAATCATAGGGGTGTAAGAATGAACTCCCTAGACAGGACTCAGAAAGCTAGGGGGATATTTATATTTGTTTACTTACCATGATATCGAATTGAACCAAATTGATGGCATGATAATAGTCACTGAACCGTGAGACCACTGTAGGTTCATACCTCTACTTGTAAGCGTAATCAAAATTGTTGCATATTTTGTGTAGTTTACAAAATATGTATTTAATTTTCTGTTGTAACTTATAATCGCTTCACGCGGCTTGTAATCATTCATCTATTATAGAGTAGATTAGTGCTTGTACTGCTTCTCTTAGGTTAAATCTGTATGGGCCATGCACATATTGTGTCTAAAACCACGTTGAAAACATGATGTGTGCCTCTTCCTTTAGCAATTTAAATGTGTTTCTGAACTTGCGATCCTCTGCTGTTTGCCTTTGCTAAGGCCAACATCAGCAGTTCCTACACAAGCGCAGGGCAGTCAATTTTCAAAATAGTTCAATTTTTGCCAGTGTGGATTAATACTGAATGCGTGTTGTTGTTATTACTTGGGGTTAGGGTTAAGAGTAAAGTAATATGCTGGTGCATTGCTTTACTGCATTCCTGCATTAGGCTCACACATATCCTCTGTACTATTGTAGGGAGATTCTATCTCGCTCTGAACTCAGTCGACCAATCACAACAGACTGGGTCATCGGACCAATCAGCGCAGGTTAGCCTCACACAAAGGAGGGGTTTGAGAACAAATGAATCGCTGAACAAATCATATGGGAGTCGTTGAGATTATTAGGTATAAAAAAAATGCATATTAAGACATAAGAAATTATAAGAAAGTGTTTTTTGACCTTGAATACACATCAGCCTGTTGTTGGAGACCCCCCACACCAAAATATGACATTTTATAATGCAAAACAGGGGCTCTTTAATAACAGTCCCTTTAATAAGACTAATGCAAAATGATGTCCTATAAAAGAATAACACTTTGGGTTTGGTGGTGATGAAGGATCGGCTACTGATGGGACAGTTTTGGATACACAACAAAATAAGCTGGTAAACATTTTACAGCAAATGACAGACACAATTTTTATTATCATGATTCTAAACCTCTAAAAATGATGTAGAGTGGTGGTCTTACCGTAAATTTGAGGTGTATGCAACTCTGAAGCACTGCAGTTCTTTACAGCTATAGAGACAGAAAGAAAGACTCATAAACAGACAAGCAAATAAAAAATATATAACAGTTAATTAATGCTAATCAAAAATATTAGTTTAATAAAAGTAAACCAACACTGTAAATAATGCTATGTTCCACACAATTCTTTTATAGCAAATCCATTAGGTTTACTTATTTTATTATTTTTTTATAAGTAAATTGAAAGTCAAACAATTAAATTGAGCCCAATTAAGAATTAAGCAATTAAGCCCAAATGTTTTTCCCATTAGCCATGTTAGGTTAAAGATGTAACAGATGGGCAAGTTTAAAAAGAAAAAGGCAGTTAATTTAAGATGGAAATCCTACCAGTCACGGTGTCTATGAGTGTGTGTCTGTTGTGTGTGTGTATCATAGCCTCATGAGAAATGAATTAAAGCCGCAGTAATTAACCCAGGTCTATCTACTAATGACCTCATGATTGCAGAGCTGAATCAAAGCCAGAGGCCTCTAAACACTCTTAAAAGTCAAGAGCTCACACTGAAATCCTAAATTACCTAACGAGCTTATTAAATAAAAGGTGAAATTAAAGCAAACCAAGTTGAGGCTTACATCAGAGTTTTAACATAAAAAGTCAGCGTCCATAAAAAAAATAGTTGTAGATGAAAAAAAAAGAAGAAAAATCATAAAGCAACAACCACTACTCAATTAAATTTGAATACTATAGGAATACTACTGCATGACTGTTTTCGCCCCAGAATATTAGTCATCAACAACCATATACACACACTTCACCATGACACTGGTGCCCAGAGAGCAGAAACAGATCACAGAGCTGCTGCTGTATTGAGTTGCATTGTGTGTGTGTGTGTGTGTGTGTGTGTGTTGTAAGTGACCTCACTGAGTGGTAGGAACATCTGCTCAACAGCTGCTGCCATTCAACCTCTACAGGGGTCAACAAGAGTCCAGTACAGACCATTGACTCACGCCAACTTCACACTCATAAACGTCATGTTTACTCAATGTCAGATTACTTCAATCAAATGATGTCTACTTCATTACTAAATAGTAGACAAAAAGGGTACTATAAAACAAATAGTAGGCAAAATGAAACTTAATGAGCTTCTACTTCCACCATGTTCAGAAGTGTGCATCTGAGGAGTGGTTTTATGAAAAGCAGAAAAGAAACTGAATTCATTCACATGTGTACAATAACTTAAAATACCGCCAAATGTGCTTCACTTTTACTGAAAAACTGGAGCTAAAAATTTAGATCATGTCATGTTGGGTGAATGCAGTGCGGTATGAAGTGATAAGCCATGCCCTCATGTAAACAAATGGGATGCGAACAAAATGCTGAATTACAAAATATGACCACGATAGCTTAGTGCAGGGGTCGGCAACCCAAAATGTTGAAAGAGCCATATTGGACCAAAAAAAAAACAAAAAACAAATATGTCTTGAGCCGCAAAAAATGCCTTATATAAGCCAAACACATGCTGTATGTATCTATAGTAGCTATATTAGCCTACTATAAAAACGACTAAGTTGGCTACAAATACATAATGAGCCTTCATGATTAAATAGCCACTGAAATCAGGTGGTTGGTGTTTATTTAGATTAGAAGCGAAAGTGGACACGCTGGGTTTTGGGTGCGTGCTTAAACAGACATGTACACATAATAATAATAATAATAAAAATAATATCTAAACATGTCAATATTTGTGGGTTTTCTTCTAAACAACAATTTTTTTCTTAAATGAGCATAAAAAGGAAAGCAATCGAATGTTTCATTATAGATCTTTGCATTTTTAAGAGAAACCTCTGTTATTTAGTGTAATCAAATGAAAAATATAAAAGAGAAAAATCTTCAAAAATCTTCATTCGCTGCTCTGTAATCAGACTTTAAATTATACAGTGAGGAAAAGGTTAAATGACATTTTATATCTTGATTAGATTTCTTTATAACAGCTATTAACAAGTTTATAAGGCTAAACTGTTTGCTGAATTATTTGCAGATTTTTCTAATGTATACTATTTATTCTATTTTTTGTAAATAATAATAATATTAATAATAAACATATTACTGACTGTTTCAACTGTATATTTACATTAAAACAGCTTTAGATTAACATTTAAAAAATGAGTCTTCCACCATGAAATTTATTTTAAACCAAATGCAGAATAATACCATTTTTACAACAAATATCATGATTAAATTATGCTAGTGTAGCAAATTTTTTTTGTAGTTTTCAAGGTTTAACTACAATTACCATGACCTTTGTTTTTATCAGTGGTAAAACAATGCTTAATTTTCATACGTTTGAAGCTAGTTTTTCTTAAAAAGCAGACGTATGCTGAAGTAGGTGGTTTCAGATGCTAATGCAATATGCTAACTAAATTATTGTGAATATTTCTTAAAAACAGAGAGGGTTTTAAGCAACAAACACGAGTGACATAATTCAATTTCATTTTTATGGGTGAATTGTTCCTTTAAATCTCTGAAGACAATAAGCTCTTCGTTGTTTATGCCTAGATGGAAATTTAAAAGCTTCCAAATTAAATTTTTAAACCACAAAATATTGATCATAAATCACCACAGAACAATAACACATATTTCTAAGCATGAAACTCATTTTGATTAAATCATAATTACAAATATTCAAACAATGAACAGAGGCTGGAGGAGACATGGATAAAATTAATATGAGTGAGGGATGCTGGTAAGGCCGGAGTGATGAACATTAGACATGGCCGTCACTGGCATGACTTGAATGTGTAGGCGGTGAAGTTCACATGACCAATGCTGGCAATACATCAGACGCCTTGCCAATGACTCACCATTACTGAAAGACAGAATGAACAACCTCCTGCACATGTCCATACAGGACAACGCATTAACTCAACATTCAGTTCAGACCACATGAAAGCAGAGACTATTTACACATTATGGACTAGACGATACAGACATTTGTCACTAAAGAAGCACATCAGATGGTTAAGTGTTTGTTCACCTAAAAATGAACTATGAATGAACTATTAATGAATTAATCAAATCTAAGAGCTTTCTCATCTCCATAGAGAGCAACAATCACAATAAAGTAAATAGAGATTAGAGATTTGATCAAATGCTTTGATAAGCTATAGGAATACTTTTGTGTGCACACAAAACAAAAATAATTACTTTTTTCAGAAGGTTTCTTCCCTTCAGTGTCAGTATAGGGTGCACGTTGATGTGTCAATTCTGACCCACTGACGTTACCTCAGATATGTCTGTGCTTTGAGGAAGAAGCATCCGGGGTTGTAAACCCATCAGTGCACAGTGCTTCTGAACAAGCTTAATATACTGACTAGTGGTGTAACGGATCACCAATCTCACGGTTCGGATCATGTTATGGTTTTTTTTATTTACGGATCGAGCCATTTTTTGGATTAGCCTAAAAGGGGAGAAAACAAATGTAATTTGCTTTCCATTTATTACAGAAACAATACTGTGATATACTTTTGATTTAAACATACCGAACTTAGATGTAACTTTATTTTTTAAAAATTAAGTAATAATCAGCTGAATAAACATAGTAAAATATTCAGTAATGTGAAAAATTCACTGTTACTACTACTATTGCTAAAAACGCTAAATGTAGAAATTTAACATTATAATTTGATAAACAATATTTATTTTCATTTATTTAGTCTCATTTGTAATAAATGATTCAGTTATTCACTCATAAAGCTTCATGTTTTTTTGCTAGATGTATCATTTTTGAAGAATTATGGGGTATACTAAATAATTCAGTATAATAATAAATAATGGGGTATAATAACTAAATAAATGGCAAAGTTTATTTAATTGAATGTATTTTAATGACATTACAACATCGATGCTGTAAAATGAATCGTATAAAATGGAAGAAAGTTCACAGTAACAGGTCACCGGAGGTTTATCAGTATGGGAAAAACATTAGGTCGGCATATATCCTATTCAATGGCATATTTTTGATGGCCACCTATTGGTTAAACAATGCAATTGCTGCCTACAACTTTCATTTTTGAGCACTGTTAAATGCATATGACGCTGATTTTAATTTTTACCATAAACATTAGTGGTTTTATCTAAACTATAAACTGTTATCCCAGTACTACTGTGTTATTTGACTATTTATAACTTCATAACTAACTCAAAAGATAGACTCCATCTCGTTGATTTTTGCGTTCAGATGTGAATGCAGCGATTCGAAGGATTAATAGACATATGCAAATCACCATCATTTATAATTTAAGTTTTGTGAGCGTTGGGATCCCAAACTTTTATTCATTAATCATGCTGCTTACACTGAATGCATTAATGCAGGCTAAACAAGTAGTGACAGAAAACACCTTTAATAACCCAAGAAACCCTCCACATCCCAAATAACCAACCATAACTTCTTCCATCATCATTATATTTTAGAGGAAAGCCTAATGCATTCATACATGTGATTTGAACGATGCCAGAGGCAATCTCTTTGTGATCGTAACAAATTTAGGATCAATCTGCCAGTAAAAAAAGTATATATTTATATAAATATACAAATATCTGCATCAGATGAAGACATTGTTCCTCTAATGAAACATGGATTTAACAGCTATATACACATGAGTTGTGTTTACGATGTATTTATGAACTTTTAAAGAGTCAAAGTTTTGGCATAATGGACTTAACTAAAGGTAAAAGAAATCTCCATGGTTTTATTAAAAGTATCGAGGTTTCAATGAACAATGAAAGTCTTATGGGTTTAAAAACAACATGACAGAATTTTATTTGGGTGAACTAAGTTTAAAATGACTTTTAATAAAAGTGAGCTGCAAAATCAGCTCATTCTGAAACCGTGGATTTCAGACAGAAAATGTCAAATCTATGTCATCACAGATCGGTTGGATGTTAGCGGTTAGCCAGTCTGGCTCTTGAAAGACAAGCAACGTTTTTGCTGGATCAGCAGAACTCCATAAGCTTCCAGGCTGGCTTAACTCACAGCAGAAATGCAGTCTAGTCT